CAAAATTGAATATATATATATATATATATATATATATATATATATATATATATATATATATATATATATATATATATATATATATATATATATATATATATATATATATATATGGCGTTATACATGAAAGAGATTTTGAAAGAAAAAAGTGTATTTCCATTGCAGACAAATTGTTGCCTTGTACAGGAATATAATTGTTTTGTGAATTTATTGATGAATCTTTGACATACACATTTTTTTTGTCAGAATTATTTGGACAATTTAATGCTGGATCTGTCAATTAAACTTGAACTCAAATACTTATCATCAGTAAATATATTTTGATCAACTGGCCATACACCAGACACATGAAAACCTGCTAGAATATTTTTTTTTATTATTATTAAATTTCATTTAGGTACCCCAAGAAGTTCTTAGGGTCTTATCAAAGAGCAGCGTGGTTGAGCATTTAATTGGAAATTCACGCCTCCTTCCTAACCGTTGTCACAAAAGTTTTGTGACAACGGTTAGGAAGGAGGGTTTGAACCACAGATCCTTTGTTTCTAAGGCAAGTGCGCTACCACTGCGCCACAGCTGCTCTTTAAATGTTTAAAGGAGTAAAAGCTAAAGGACAAGATTTGTCAATGTTTTCTGCAACGTCATATATGGTAATTGGCTTTCCTGGATTTGATAGCATCCAATCACTACAAGCTGTGCTGTAGTATTTTTTTAAAAGTCCAAAAACACCTTTTTCTAATGGCTGAAGCTTACTGCTGGTATGTGGAGGAAAAGAAAGCATTATTACACCATTTTCTTTAACCAAAGTAATCTTTTCAATACTGACATGACTTTCATGGTTATCCAATAATAATAATAGTGGCTGATCTTCAGAACCTTTGACATAGAAAATAAAATATTTCAAAAACTCTTCAGCATTTGACCATCAACTTATATGTGCTGTTTCCTTAGTTCCTGGAGGTGCTCCTTTCAGCATATGATTTTTGAAGTTCACTCTTGGAAAAATTATCATAGGGGTAAGGAATTTCCGATTGCATTCACACAGCTAATAATAGTTATATTAGTTCCTGGTTCACTAGAAGTTAAGCTCCCAATATGTTTTTTGCCTTTCGGGGCTACAACCTTAACAGGTGTGTGCACATTTGTAATACATGTTACATCCACATTAAAGATGGATTCAGGCTAAAACATATATTTTGAGAAGATTTTAAGATATTTTGAAAAAAAACAATGAAACATTTGCTTTGTTGAAACTGGTGGCTCTTTCTAAACATGTAGCTTGCGGCTTTCTTAGTGAAAGAAACTTTTTATTTCTTTTCATAAAATCAGAATACCATTGCTCACCGGCTTTACTATTTTTATCCCAGGATGTTGGATATTTTTTAACATTGTCTTTTGCATACCCAAAAGCAAGCTTTTTAAGCTGTGGCTTTGACAGTCCATAATGCATATTGCTTGCAATCACAAGATACTCAACTAAGGCTTTTTCTTCATCTTTAGAGAATACATTCTAAACAGCACATTGGTTAAAATATTTATATATTTTATATTGTTCAGTATTTTTAGAACTATTCTTCTGACAACAGTTTATATGTCTTTGGAGTGTTGTTCTGCTGATACTAAAATGTCGACGTAAAAATCAGAAAGATTCAATATAAATATATCAAAAGCAAAAACATTTTAAGATAACAAAAGGTGTGTAGCAAAATTTACAACTCTCATAATTAAAATATCAATTTCACAGCTATGCATCACTGTAAAGCATCTAAAAAAAGTAGATAATTATACAAACATTAAGTACACAATTTGATTGAAACATGATATAAGTAACAAAATTGATTAATAATTCTGAGCAAAGTTAACAAATACTACGCGTTAAATGGTGTTCCCAAAACAGTCGCGAAAAAAAAAAGCTCTTTGCCAATCAGAGTTTAGCAATCTGATCAAACAAATTCTTTATCAGAAAAACAAACATATGGCCCTAGGTACAAGCAAACTGTATGGCCCTAGGTACAAGACTTGATAGCCTCATGTAAAATGTCATCTATTAACAAATCCGCATTGTGAGTAAACTTATTGAACATTGTATTTAGTACTTGAGTAACAAACAATATTATCTACTAGAACCTATAGAAAAGCATTTCCTCTAGGATTGTAAAACAATATATGATAAAAGCAGCAAAACTTTACTTTAGACCATCAAAAAGTGTTTTCTCATTATAACTTGCCGTAGCAGCGCTCTCTGAGAATCAAAATAGGATTAAAAAATTTTTTTTTTAATCAAATCTCTTATTCCTCCCTGTCTCCCTGTATTCTATACAGGGAGGAATAAGAGATTTGTAGAGGTAGAGAATGAAATCAGGAGAGAGAAAATGGCAAGCACAATAAAGAGAAGCAACCTTATGCTAAACTAGAGGCTAATTTAGTAATTGATTTTATATGTGGTTTCCATGAAAAGTCAATAGTAAATGATAATCCAAGACATAAAGAAGAGTACTCAGTGAGAGGGTTGCCATTCGTTAATATAGGAATGTTGACAGTACTGTGATAGCTGTTTGCAAATAACTGAGTTTTGTTGGAGTTAAAATTTACAGGCTACTGTAAGCCCCAATTTGTTACAGAAGTAAGATCAGATTCAAGACTGGCTGTCTGTTCTATGTGATTGAAAAGAGAAGACTTTTTCGTCAAGAAAGAAGTATAAAGTTGAGTCATCAGCAAAAAGAACTATGTTAGATGTAAGGTTGTCAGGAAGATCATTATGTAGATAAGAAACAAAACAGGCATAAGGATACCATGAGGTATCCAAGAAGTTACTGGAAATAAAGAAGTGTGTTGGCCTTTGAGGACGACTTTAATAAAGCAGTTAGAAAGATATGATTTGATAATCTCAAAGACTTTCGCAGGTATACCATACGGAACAAGCTTATAGAGAAGACCAGCATGTCAAACCTTGTTGAAAGCCTTAGATATGTCAAGAGCAATAGCCCTAGCCTCTCCACTTCCATCTAATGCATGATAAAATCGTTCAGTCACAGCAGTTAGCAAGTCAGCCGTAAAGCGAGAAGATCCGAAAAACCGTATTGATTGTCTGACAATAGGTTATTTGACTCAAGACAGGATGTGAAAAATTTGTTTATCAAAGACTCAAAGACCTGGCTAATAACAGAAAGAAGACTGATTGGACAATAATTGGAGGGGTCAAAAGAGTTTTTGAAAGTTGGAACAACAGGTCTCATCTTCCAGCAGGCAGGAAAACAAAACTCAGTCAAGCACTTATTAAATAGTTCAGAGAGATTCTGTGAGTTGTGGAGAACAATTTTGTAAGACTGTGACAGGAATGTTGTCTGAACCACAAGCTGTAGAAGAGTTTAATAAAGATATGACTTTAGCAATGGAAGCTGGAGTGATTCAAATGGTTAATAATTGGTTAACCTTTTTAATTTGAATGGAACTGAATGGCCATAAGATTCGAGAGTCGAATTTGATCTAAAGTGTATGAAGAGTTTATTGACCTTTCAAGATACTCTGGTAAATATGCTTAATTGTGTTGTAAAGGTAAATGCTCCTCGAAAAAATGCAGACTAAGAAGCTCGATTGACTTATGTTATGATTAATATTAATGAGATGATCAATATATATGAGAAAAAAAGATTAAAAATACAAGAATACAAAATTTATAAATCTCCTGTAGTCAGGTTTATTTTAAGTAATCAATAGCATAAATATAATTTATGTTATGAATATATTATGTGCTTGTGTATATGAAATAAATATATATTGATAGCTTATTTTGACTGCCATTAGGACTGACTTAAAAAGAGTAAAAAGAAAAAAACCAAAAAATTCTGAGTTTTAATTTTGAAACATACTTAACATTTAGTTAAGATTTTTTGTACAACTTACATGTGTTTACTAATGCATATCATTGTTTAGTTGCAAAAAAAATCTTAAGCAAGGAGAGTTTCAACCTGGCGGTCAATATGGAAAACAATATACATATTATCTTGTAAATTTATGTTATTATTTTGTATAACCTATTTAATGTTTGTTGTAAAACTTTCTTTTAAGTTAAAAAATTTGTATATTTATGTAAAATTTTATGTTGCCTTTAAATATTTTAATGCAATCGTTTAGGTTCGGATTGTATTTTCAATGTAATCAGTGTCCTTGTATCATATGTATCTTTGATCTTGTTTGGAGGCACAATCCAAAATGTGATATTTGCATTTATTTTTCAAATGGTATACATTTTTGTATTCTTTTAATCTATCTATATTTTTAATATTTTCTTAAAATCTTAAAAAAATAATTCTGGTAGAAAATACTTGTGGTACAATTATTAGTAGTTAAGTTCAATTATTATTAGTAAAATAAAATTTACAAAATGAAACTTTGCTTGTTTATATAAAAACAAAACAGTCAAAAATTATTTAACCTACTGCAAAAATTTTTTGAGGTCTATATAATATTAACACCCGAGAACTCTACTATCCAAATTTCAAGGGCAACCTACAAGAGATTATGTTTTGTCAGCTCTTGAAGAGTCTAGCCTAATAAACGATCTTGAAGGTCTGTAACTCATTAATCGAGTATCTTTATTTAATAAGTAACTTAATATTATTTAGTATTAGCTGTTCCCTTAATTTAATACAATTACCAATACAATAATTGTATTATTAAAATTAATTAGCAATTACCTTATTAGAGTTTTTAGCTAATGGAATTTAATTGTGAAATTCTGAATTTTTGAAACCTGGTTTTTGATTTTTTATGTTTAGAGTATGGATCTACTATTTTGATAAGTAAAGTATTTATATATTATGCATTATTATTGTGTTTATCATTAAGTAAAATAATTTAAATGTATTTAAATTGTTAATTTAATTTAAATTTTAAATATTAAATTTATTATTAGTAACAGTTTAAATGTCTAAAAAAAAGTTAAAAACTAAATAATTCTAAGTTAAAAAGTTTTCTTAAAAAATTTCTTTACAACTATATTGCAAGTAAAATCACTTTTATCATTTGATATGACAGTGTGTGAAAAAATATTATGCAAAGATAGCGCCATCTTTACACTGTTACTAAATCATGGAATCAGTGACAAGGTTGTTTATATTATAGATTTACTAAATTTTATCTAATAGCTTAGTAAATTATATAACATATTAATACACCTTTTTGAATTAAAGTCGGCCAATGTTCACTTTATTTTGTCATTTTTTCATTTTAATTTAGCAATTTTCACTTTAATTTGGCATTTTTTCATTTTAATTTGTCAATTTTCATTTTAATTTGGCATGAAAATTTTATCAGCCAAATGAATTCTAAAAATTTATGAAGCTGAATTTAATCTGAGGTAATTATTAGAATAAAATATTTACTGGAATCTACTCAAGACAATCAACAACCCACCACTGCTGTTTTAAAACGTGACTCCTACAAAAAGTCATTGCTGCTGAAGGCCAATGCATCTGCGATGCAGCAAATGCTGGGGATAACTAGAAAGCAATGCTGCAGGCAACAGTGTCAGCAATGGTACAGCACGTTAATACATTAACAAAGATGATATTGAACAAGGAAAATGTGGAGGATACAAGAAGAAGAAGCCTACTGAAGATCATCTTGATGTAATATAAGATTGGATTGAAAAGAGTTATCAAATGACTTTGAATAAAATCAAGTATACAAATATACAACAAGCTTCACCTTGATGTTGCAATTTCTACAATATACCAAGCACTTGTTGGTCGTGCTTTTACCTATAAAGATGTTGATTATAAACACTGCAAAAAAAGCTCAAAAGCAATACATTCAAAACATGCGTGAACTGTTTGGTGATAGTAAAGTTCCAATTTGGATGAAACAAACTATAATCTTTTCACTGCACGATCCAAAGGTCAATCGAAGCGCAATATTTATGCAGTGGCACTTGGCAATGCACCCCAAAAAGAAGAAAGTGTTCTTGTCATTGGAATAAGTGTGCATGACTTTTTTTACAATTAATATCTACATGGTAAATACAAGAATCAAAATGCGAACGATTGACTTCATTGAATGTTGTTGATTCAGAAGTTTGGATCAAATTGTTGTCATTTGTGACAATACTCTATGTCAATCTTGGGTTGAGGAAGTATTTTTGGAACCTAAGTTTCGAAACACAAGTGTGTTGAGGTTTACACCATATTCTCCAATGCTCAACCCTATTGAAAATGTTTTGTCAATGGTCAAGTAGAATGTGAAAAGATCATTGCGCAAAGGCTTGACTGTATTTCTAGGATCTCCACCTGAAAATGTAATGTGAAGAGTTCAGAATGTAATACTTGGAGAATGTGGCTGAGTGAGCTTTATGGCATTATGAATGTGCTCTCAATCTTCTTGATGTTGCAGTTAGGGCCCAATTTCGAGGGAAAGAGTTTTAAAAAAAAAAATCAATTTTACATGTAGTTTTTCAAATTAAAATGAAAAAAAATGCCAAATCAAAGTGAAAATTGGCCAGCTCAAACGCAATAAAGTTTAGTAGTACTTTTTTGTCTTGAAATAATTATTTTTAGGACATGAAATAATCATTTTTAGGACATCTCCAACATATGGATATGGCACATAATAAAGTATGTTTATATATTTATTAATATTTTTTATTTTTATAGTCTTACATGCTTGGTTCATATATATTTTATTCATCAGATGGCTATGATGTTAAGTGGACAACACCCCAATGTATCATGTGCTTGCGATTAATAGGTAAATTTAGCTCAGTTCTTTTTATGATATTAAATTTATTTTATAATGAATTTTTTTTTTTAGCTTTTTATTTTAGCTGCAACGATAATTATACTTTTGTAAAAAAAATTATACTTTTGTGAGAGCCGTAAATTGTTCCTGTATACCGTTTTAGGGGAGTGTGGGCGAGAGCTAGAGCTAAAGCTTTCGCTTCCTGCCGTGGCCTATATATATATATATATATATATATATATATATATATATATATATATATATATATGCGGCAGTGCGTAGTGGTAATATATATATATATATAATGCGGCAGTGGTGTAGTGGTAAGAGCGCTCGCTTTGTAAGCGAGAGGTTCGGAGTTCGACTCCCACCACGTCCCTGGAAGTACCGCGCTCAACTTAGTTTCTCCGCGCAGCGGCCTTGCTTGTCAAGGTTCGTGTTTCGGAGTTAAAGAGTTGAGAGAGGGTTGTACCACGAAATACAACAAAAAAATAAAAAAACACAAAAAAATGAGTAGCCTCCTCGACTGTAGTGGCCCCCTCGGGCCTTGGGGAGGTGAATAATGTAAAAAAAAAAAAAAAAAAAAAAAAAAAAAAAAAAAAAATATATATATATATATATATATGTATTTTATATATATATATATATATATATATATATATATATATATATATATATATATATATATATATATATATATATATATATATATATACACATTGAGAAACCCTTAAAAAAAAATTTTTTAATTTTTTTAAACATAGTATTATTTTATTATATAGAATAAATTTTGAGGGTGGGAGCAGACATTTTTAAAAAAAGTATTTTTTTTGGGACACTCATATATTTATATATATATATATATATATATATATATATATATATATATATATATATATATATATATATATATATATATATATATATATATATATATATATATATATATATATATATATATATATATATGAATTAAAAATTTTTTTTTAAGAGTTTCTAAAGTCCCTTGGAATCAGGCAAGTCCTATCATGTTGGGTCTCATCTCAAAAGAAGAATTCAAAAAAAATCATAATTTTATAATAAAATTATAATTTTAAATATGAGTGCCTAAAAAATTTTTTTTTTAAATTTTTAAATTACAATATTTACAATATAATATATCAGGGGCTATTCTAGATCGTTTTTGACAGTGTTAACCCTAATTGGGCGCCACCCAAATTAAAATTTGAGTTGCTTTTTTTTTATGTTGTTACAGCAAATATTGCAAAAAAAAATGCAGATTTTCCGCTAAAGTCAGCTGAAACAGGGGGTACCGTCGCCCCCATTTTTTCCTATAATAGGCCCTGTATAGAGTATACAATATTTTTATGTAGAATGCATTTAGATGGTAGGATAAGATATTTTTTTAAAAAGTTGATTTTTGGGACACCCTAATAGATAGATAAATTGATAGGTAGGTCTAGATATATAGTTATTCCTGTATACATAGGTTGACTGTCAATCAAATAAGCACACACATATACACACACACACAGAATTTTAGATTATCTTTATATAAATGATTATGATAGATATTTATGGTTATATATTGTTTTTTTAGGTTTAGCATGGGATTGTTATGATGGTAAACAGAAACAGGTTTTTTATTATTATATTTTTTTAGTATAAAATAATTTTTAAATTAAAAAGGAAAAAATAAAGGTGTAATAAACAAGGACAAAATGCACAAGATACATTAGATCTATAAAAGTATATTATGTACTAGACACACACACACACATATATATTTATAAACACAGTTTACACCATATAGTAAGTGACCGGGTTAAAATTTGACCGGGTCCAAGTTTGTTAAAAAATAGCCAGGGCCGGGTTTGTTTGGGACTGCATAAACATTGATATATTCTAAATATATCAATTATATCAAGTTTTTTTTTTATTTGAATATCATATTATATTTTCTATATATAGGCATGTATACTTTGTTTTTGACTTGTGGTTCAAACAACATTTCCATCATGTTCTCCAGAATTCTCATTCAATCCTCACTAAACTATCATTAAGTGATTAAAATTATCTATGTTAAACATATGTTGTTGTTTTTATAATATTGAAATAACATGTAAATTTTATAATATATAAAAAAACCCCATAGTTATTTTTTATAAATATGGTAGATAAAAAGTCAATGCCAATTTTTGAAAAACTTTTTTTACTGTAAACCCAGGGCTTTAGCCATATTTTTATAAGATTAAAAATTAGTCATCAACAAAAAAGATTAAAATGTTTCATTTTCAAGAAATTTAAATAAACTAAAAAAACTGTCATTAACAAAATTATCATTTATAAGTTTTTTTAATTTTATTTTCTGATTACTCCCAACAAGGCTGCAAGCAACAACCATTAAGTTGGGAGTTACTAAAAAAAAATTTGGTTGTGGAGTGGGGAAATGGTTGACAGAAGACTTAGAAAGTTAAGGGTTGTATGAATCAGGAAAACATAAAGATGAGAGAGAGTTCCAAAGGGTTAAAGTGTGGGGAAAAAAACTAGAAGAATAAAAGATTTTAGAGCTTGCAGTGACAGATCAGTAAAAGAATGAGACTTTGCTAAATGACGAGTCAAGCAAGAATGAGTTTTAGTGAATGGAATTAGAGATGATAGCTTAGATGGGAAAGAGGCTTAAGCTTCGCAGATAGAGCGGGTTCAACTATGTTTACAATTTGTTTTTGGATTTTGTCTAGAAGAGAAAGAGCATCATTAGAAAAATCAGCCCAAATATGACAACAGTATTCCATACAGGAATGAACCAGAGATTTGTAGAGATAGAGAATAGAATCAGGAGAGAAGCAACTTTTTCAGATGCTAATTTAGTAATCGATTGTATATATGGTTTCCAAGAAAGGTCAATAGTAAAAGCTAATCCAAGAAGACGTAAAGAAAAGGACTCAGTGAGGGGGTTTCCATTCAATAATATGGAATGTCGATAGTACTGCGATAGTTGTTTGAAGTAAATAACTGAGTTTTGTTGGAATTTCAATTTGCAAGCTACTGTGAGCCGCAATCTGTAAAAGAAGTAAGATCAGATTTAAGATTGGCTGCCTGCTCTAAGCAATCCAAAAAGGAAAATCATTTTTCAAGACAGAAGTATAAAGTTGAATCATCAGCAAAAAGAGCTACTTGAGATGTAAGGTTGTCAGGAAGATCATTAGTATAGATAAGAAACAAAACAGGCCCAAGGATAGCACCTTAAGGTACCCCAGAAGTTACTAGAAATATAGAAGAGTGTTGGTCTCCGAGGATGACTTTAATAATAAAGCGGTTAGAAAGAAATGATTTGGTAATCTCAAAAACTTTCCCAGATTTATTGTATGAAACAAGCATATGAAGAAGACCAGCTTGCTAAACAGCAAGCCTTAGATATGTCAAGAGCAAAGCCTTAGCCTCTCCGCCTCTATCTAATGCACAATAAAATCTTTCAGTCACAGCAGTTAGCCAGTCAGCCATAGAGCAAACGGAATCAAAAGCTGTATTGATTGCCTGGTATTAAGTTATTTGACTCAAGACAGGATGTGAGAAATTTGTTTATCAAAGACTCAAAAACCTTGCTAATAACAGAAAGAAGACAGGAATGTTGTATGGATTTAAAGCCGTAGAGTAGTTTAATCTAGATATGACTTAGTCTTAGAGCTAACTTCTGAGATAAGATACAAGATTTAGTGAACTGAGAATAATTGAAGTTGGCATCTGACAGCATCTTTTTACATCAATTTCTTGCAATAATAAATAGCTGTTTGTTCTCAAGAAAGTTGTTCTTTTGAAAACGATGAAAATAATGATTACGATTACATATACTCTTTTTTTTTTATTCACCTCCCCAAGGCCGAGAAGGCGGCTAGTAGAATGAGGCTTGACTTGGAACCGATGAGAGGAATAAAACCCTCTATTTCTGGCTGAGTCCAGGAGGTTACATATGAGGCGTATTTTTTTGTTGAAAGGTAAAAGATATTAGCCAAGGACCATCACAAAGAAAATCACGAAGAGAATCCCAGTCAGCTTTAAGGTATTAGTAAGTAGTGTGATGATAGGGTGTGTCTGAAAAAGAAATACGAGATGAAAGATCTAAAGAGATCACTGCATGGTCAGAACAACCTAAAGTAGAAAAAAAAGAAACTGAACACAAGCAAGGTTCAGTGACCAGACATAAATCAAAGAGTGAAGGTAAATGATAAGGGTTGTCAGTAAAACTAGTCACAAGTTAACTATCTGTGTAAAAGATTAAGAAATGCAAAAGTTTTAGGCTTTATTGCAAGAAGGGTCAGTAGCATTAGAGCCAAGCCATTTAATGTAATGAGCATTAAAGTCACCAATAACAACAATATTGGCTGAGGGGTAAAGAGAGAGGGCATGGTAAATTTGATCAGAAATTATATCTAAAAAATGCAATCTTAAGAAAAAGAAGGAGAATGATAAAGAACAGAAAGGTGATAGAGTGAAAAGGTGCTAAGCAGAAGTACATAAAAGATTGGTTAAAGAATTCAAACTTGATTTCATGACAAATAGGTGAACTGATGTGTATGTATACCCTAAGCCAAGCATGTGACTATTGGAGTCTTTGCAAATCAAAGGATAGTAACACTAAGATAAGAAGAAGGAATAACAGAATTTAAATAAGTCTTACTAAGAGCAAGCAAATCTGTTGAGTTTTGCCAGAGGTAAGATTCAACTGATGGAAGGTTGCTTTGCAGACCACAAATAATAGTAAATGATATTTAGGTTATATATAGTTTTATATGTTTAATATTTTGGATTACTTTCACTGGATCTTCTTGACTTAGTGCATGGATTTGCTTATGTCTCTGTTTTTATGACTAGGCAACTCATTCTGTTATCTCAGTTTTATGGTTTTGAGGCCTGCTGGTAGTCAGGTTTCCTGATCCCTGTGGTGTATATTGTTGAGGCCACATTTGAAGCCCTTTGTTATGGCTTAGGGTTCATTAATAGTAATAAGCCATTAGCTTGGACTATTTAATAATGTACTATCTATGCTTTGAGTCAAGTTCTTTTAAAAATTTAAAATGACTAAAGTACTAAAAACTATAAAAAAACCATCGTCATCACCAAGTTATCTAAACCTATCATTAAAGCTGACTGGGACTCTTTCCGTGATTTACTTCATGATGGCCCTTGGATAGAAATCTTTTGTTTTCCTGCTGACAAATGTGCTTCTTATATAACTTCATAGATTCAAACTGGCATGGAATTTTTTATTCCCTCTCGACAATTTTAGGTCAAGACCCACTCTTCTCCATGGTTTTCCCCACATTGTGCTGCTGCAATTGCCAATCAAAACTATTATTTTCATATCTATCAGCAAAACAATTCTCCAGAAAACAGGTGTCTGTTTACTATTGTTAGAAACCATTGTAAAAAGGTTTTGTCTAACGCCAAACCTCGCTATTATCAGGTCATGAAATCTCGTATTTTATTACAAAAATTAGGTTCTCGTGACTTCTGGAGAATCTTTAACAGTATCAATAATAAGGGCAAATCTGTTATTCCACCTCTCTTGTATGATTTAGACTTTGTCACCTCACCTAAAGACAAAGCTGAATTGTTTGATAAGAACTTTACATCAATACCATCTCTTGATTCCACTATTTGCGCTCTAACTGATATAGCAGTCAAACGATTTAATCCATTGCTTGACATTCGTATCACTTTAGCTTCTGTATCAAAAGTGATTTCTTGCTTAAACTCTTCTACAGCTTGTGGTCCAGACAGCAAACCTGTTGTAGTCTTGCAGAAGTGTTCTCCAGAGGTGTCATCCATACTTTCAAAACTATTTTACAAGTACTTATCAGAGTCTTGTTTTCCAGCATGCTGGAAAGCGGCATCTGTTATCCCTATTTTTAAAAATTCTGGAAAGTGATATGACTCGTCTAACTAACATCTCATTAATGTTCTTTCTATCATAAGCAAGGTTTTTGAGTCTTTAATTAACAAACACTTAATCTCTCATTTGAATCTAATAACTTACTTTCTGATCATCAATATGGATTTCGATCGTCTCAATCTACGGCTGATTTGCTAACAGTAATAACTGATAGGTTTTATTGTACATTAGATAAAGGTTAAGGCATTTCTAAAGCTTTTGATAAAGTTTGGCATGTTGTCTCCATAAGATTTCTTCTTTCAGTGTATCTAGTAACAGCTTTAAGATTATTGAGTCCTTCTTTTCCAATCGTAGTATAAGAGTTGTCCTCAATGGACAGCACCCTTCTTCATATCCTGTAACTTCAAACGTTCCTCAAGGTTCTATACTTGGCCCTATACTCTTTTTAATTTACATCAATGATCACCCAGAAATTTTCATATCTAAGGTGGCATTGTTTGCTGATGATACTACCATTTACCATTTATTATTGTCTTAAGAAGAATAAGAAGCCAATGTTCTCTGAATGCTTAGAGGAGGCATTTGAGCTTGAAAAAGATCTCAGTTCTGCTGGAGCATAGGGCTAACAGTGGCTGGTGAACTTTAATTTAGATAAAACCCAGTTTTTCTCAGCCAATCGTTATTACAATTTAGATCTTCCTATATTTATGAACGGTAATGTACTGTATGAGTATATTTATGAACGGTATGTTATATTTATGAACGGTAATGTACTGTATGAGTCATCTACCCTTCATCTTCTAGGATTAACTCTTACTTGGATCTTTTTTGGAAACCGTATATCAAATCCATTGCAAAATTAGCATCTGCTAAGGTTGCATCTCTTTATCGTGCTCGACACTTTCTTACTTCTGATTCTATTCTTTATCTCTATAAATCTCAAATCCTCCTTGTATGGAATACTTTTGCCATATCTGGGGCAGTTCCTTTAATGATGCCCTTTCTCTTTTAGACAAGGTACAAAAATGCATTGTAAACATAGTTGGACCTGCTATTGCAGCCAACCTCCAACTATTATCACATTATCGTAATGTTGCTTCTCTTTCTTTTTTCAACAAATACTATAATGGGCATTGCTCTAAAGAGCTAACGTCTTTTGTGCCATCTACTGAAATTCATTCTCGTGTTACTTGTCATTCAATTAACTGTCATCTTTTTACTGTAACTGTTCCCAAGTGCTAGAAAAACTCCTATTTGTCTAATTTATTTACTTTGACATCAGTTCTTTGGAATTCTCTTTTTTCATCTTGCTTTCCTGATTCATATAGTTTGCAATCTTTAAAGTTGTCTATCAATCGTTTTCTTGCTCTACAAACTTCATATTTTCTCTTCCAGTAACTTCCAACTCTTGTAGTGGTTGCTTGCAGCTTTGTTTGAAGCAAAAATGTAAAGATAAAAAAAAAAATTACATCTACGTTAACCTAATAGATAAAGATGGGGTTTGAGGGTGGTTAGCAGAATCTTTTCTGCTTTCCTCTCAAGTCTTTAACTATGAGGGCTATTACATGATGGTAGCTGGATGCTGTTATCATCTGCCCAAGAGTATTTTTATCAGGGATTTTTCAAGTCAGAGTTTGTTTCTCCTAGCCTTTGCCTGAAAAACCACATTCTACAAAGCAGCAAGGTATGGGGCAGGTAGTACTGGTTTACATAATGCCATTAGTAGGGTGATCATGATGATCTTGAACCTGACCTTGAGTAATTAAAAGGAACTACTTCCTGCAAACACTACCTTAAAACATTGGGCATGATATTTTGGAAATGCATTAGGAAAAATTTAGCATTACTGACAAAATACTAGAGATAAGGATGAGCTTAGGTTTTATGGTTGTAGTGTCTAGTTAGTTAATGAGCTCACAATGCATCAAAACATATTTAAACATTTAAACAGAACACATACATACATAAAGTAACATGGTTGAACCAACACTGCACCAGAGGTTCAGACAGAACAGAAACATACAGATAGCAACGTACAGGTGAGTCAACACCGTGCCAGAGGTTTAGGCAGAACACATATATACATATAAAGTAGATTGCAGGTGAGCAATAACAGTAGCTAAGGCATCTACTACTATATAAAAGACACACACAAAATAGATATGAATATATTACTATAGCATGACCGATTTTCCTTAGAAAGCAAATCCCACATAGCAGCCTGAGTTACATGTTACCAGTAGTAGGGTGATCATGAAGACCGTAAACCTGACCAGACACATAAGTTTATTGTCTTATTATAAATAGATGACTTTAAAATGTTGCCACAGTATGATTACTAAGCTCGGTCGAATTCATTCGAATTTGTCACAATTTCGAATTTTCGAATTTTTGTAATAAAATTCGAAGTGGTCAAATTCGAAATTCAAATGTAAATTCGAGTCGCTCAAATTTTGTCAAATTCAAATTAGGTATTTTCAAATTTTTTCAAATTAGTATAAGAAATACTCGAAAAAATTTTTTTATTTAGTTTAACTACCCAGTATATGGTGAGGGTGAATTTTATGACTCATTAAGAGTGGGGGTGGGGTCTGACTAAAGACCGACTAAATAAGTGCAAATTTTATACCTGCAAAATTACATAATGGCGAATGTTGTAACTGCAAACTGGCAAATCTACATAAGTGCGAACACTTGCAATCACTGGCATAAGTGCGCCAAAGGAATTTGCAAACACTGGCTTAGATATGAATCAATTGCAAAAACTGACATAAGTGTGAACTTGCATATGCGCAAAGCAATTTTAAAAACAGGTATAAGTGCGCCGAATCTGAAGATTTACTCATAAAAAGTTTGAAATTTTTTCCTTTTTCAGATTAATATGGAAAAAGATGAGATGAATGTACAAACATTTAAAACCAAAATATGCGCCTGTGGCGCAGTGGTTAGAGCGCTTTCTTTATAAGCAAGAGATTCATGGATCAGAAAACTTGGATTCCAGAGCTCATCTGGACATGCCATCATTAAGGAAGGTGGTGTGAACTTCCTATTTTAATGCTATTTCGCGGTACTCTGTGACAAGACCGTAAGGTCTTTTTCGGACACCTAAAGCAAAAATTGAAAAAAAGAAAAAAAAAAAATTGAACGGGGGTGGATGTAGAATGTTTCAAATATTGGAAAAAATTTCTTTGATGTTTAATGTATTTACAAGCGTAAATATAATTTAAGGGCAATTGCCCACTATTTATAATCGGTTGTCATTCGCTCTAAGCAATAATCGTAAGTAAGTAGTAAGCAATCTATTTTTAAAATGAAACGTTGAGATTTATAAAATAACGATTGAGAATTATATTTAACGAATAAGAATTATATTTAACATGTAAATAGGTTCAAAAAAACGTCAGTTAATGGACGGTTTACCCAAGTTAAAAACGTTATTCCTGATTTCAAACAATATAATAAATTTGATAAAAGGAACAAAAAGGAACATTTTCCACATTTTTATATATAATCAATCACTGTCAATGTATTGTATGCTAATAGTTGATGAATTTTCATCTCTGTTTCTTGAAGAGGTTCCAACTCTTATGCTTGAAAGTACTGTTGATTGGCTGGTTGAAGTAGACCCAGCCTTCGATTGACTTTGAAGACTTAAATCCAACTTTTTTTTATTTCCTTTACCACCTCCCTTACCAAAATGAATTTTGGCTGAACCTTCTATCAAGACTTCAGTTGTTTTGTCCTGAAGAAGTTCCTCTTCAGCATCCTCCTCTGCTTCATCCTCGTGAAACTTTGCGGAGATTTTGACTTTTGGCAAGTTTTCCTTACAGTAAACTAGTATGTGGACATTTTCAACATCAAGCTTTGTCCTTTGGTAGGTCACAATTGCACCTCCTGATGAGAACACTCGCTCAGAGCTCGCTGACGATGTCTGAAAAATGAAATTAGTTTAATATTTTTTCAAATGTTCAAACAAATTAAATGAAAGTAGACTGGGAAAAAATTTTTGAACGGCTAAAGTTCAAATTTAAATTTAAGTGACCAAAGTTTAAAAATTCTGTTATTTGAATTTTGGAAATTGGCGTGTCCCTACCCCTTTTGAAAAATAAAACTATTTCAAAATAAAGCTTAAAAAATATATATTTTCAATATAGTTTTTTTTACCTGAACACAAAGGTATTTTCTGGCACACTTGGCAATAAGAGGATACTCCCGATGATGTCTTCTCCACCATTGTAGTACATCAACATCGGTTGGAGGAGGATTTGTTAAGTTGAGGTACCTGTTCATTTCCAACTGCATGGGGCTAATGGCTGCCTCAAACAGTGACCGGGTATGCTGGCTTGACTGAGAAGACCTCATTTTAGCTCTAAAAAAAAAAGTTATTAAAAAAAATGTTTTTAACCTGAAACTATTCGAATTTTAAATTTGAATACCAATTACCTAATCTTAGCTTCAATGCTGTAGTCTTCCTCATCAACTTCCTCAAAAATTCAGTGATTCAAGTCACGTACTAGCTCAACTTCATTCTCCTTTATCATCAGCTCAATCATTTCCCTGTAATTTGAACTTTCATGTTGGGCAAGTGTGAGTCCTTTGTAAAATGGGTGGAGAATTGCTCCATAAGCATAGAGCTTGTTTTTGGTCCCACAAGTTTTTGACACCACATAGCAGATGGTTGGTTTTTGGTCAGAAGAAAAGAATAAAGACATCTCTTCAATCTTGGTGAGTGGACCAATGATGGCAACAATCTGAAAATAGAAAACTGTAACAATTTTGACAATTATTATTTAACAAGTTTATACAAACCATCCCCCTACTCCTCCTAAAAATGACCTAAGCAATTTAATAACTTTGAGGCCCTTAGAGACAAGTGAGTCCTAAATTTTGGTACAAAAAAAGACTCTCGATTTCAATGTGGAGTCCCCTTTTAGCTGTAAGGTCATCCTTACTCCCCTGAGATAGGATGCCTGATACTCAATAACTAAATACTCAAAAAAAACTATTCAAAAAAAGTAAAAAAGAAAATTAATTTAAGAACTATTTTTAATATTCGGAATTAACAGGAATTACGAGTTTTTATAATTCGGAAAAAAATCTAACTCATTCACCTGCTCAAATTCCTCTGATGTAGGGATTTTTTCTCTTATCTTGGGATCAGTTCCCTTGCTGAAGTCCTCTCTGATCCTCTCAAGAGCTGGCCTCAACTTTAAAATGGATCGCATCATAATCAAGATGGAATTCCAGCGGGTTTCAACAGGTTTTGACAAATTCAACTAAAAGAATTATTGGTAAAATTTTGGTTTAAAACTAGTCAAACTAGGTTATACCAAAACCAACTTCTTTTAAATCGTGAGTTTAATTTTCTTATACTATACAATGTACAATAATATCATAAATTGGTTAAGGGGCTAGGGGAATAAAGCCCCAAACCCTGCACATTTAGGGACCCAAACCTTTTTAGCTGAGCTTTTTTTAAGAAACTTGTTTAGATTTCATAGAGTGCAACTTTGCCATAAAAAGAGCCACTTTTTTTAAATAGCTCCGGCCCAACAACAAAAGTCTTATTCTGGCACTATATAACCAAATTTATTATATAATATATATATATTTATATAATAACTAAATATAAACATAAATAAATAATATGTAATAAATATAATAAAATATATACATATAATAAATGTACAATCCAAACTTAAAATTGAAAAACTTTGAAAGTTTAAAGAAATGAATTACCAGTTTCAATGTTTGTATCATCCTTAGATTGATTGTTTATCCTGGCACACTCTTTCTTAATCCTCTGTGTAGCAATGCTGCTTTTGTGAGTTCTGGATGACAATTTCTTGAATGCATCAACAGCATTCTTTACTTCAGGGATGCCGAGACACTCAGTCACCACAAGGTTAAGTATATGGTCAACACACCCAAGGCCCTCCTGAATTTCTTCTGTCAGTTTTGGGATGGCTGCTAGCATATTAGCTGCATTATCACTTGTGCAGGTCTTGTGGACATTTGATGGAAGGCCTACAATCTCACTAATTGCCTTGTCAAGAAGTTCAGCAATGTTTTGAGATGTATGTCTACCTTCTGCACTTCCACAATACACCAGCAGCTTCTCTAGGGTCCAGTTCTTTGAGATATAGTGAAGTGTCAAACCAAGGAATGGATCGAAGTTTCTAAACAAGAAAATAAATTTTATTTTATATCAAACTTTATTACTATCAGTTCATTCTATGTTAATCACAAGGCCGGATTTACCTATAGTTCAACTAGGCCGCGGCCTTTGGCCCCACAAATTTCAAGAAATTATCATTTCTCTTTTTATATACAAACTATCATTGCTTTGGATATTTAGTAAATTGAAACATATCTATATAAGTTAAAAAAAAAAAGTAAATAGTTATTTAAAACAAAAATAATTTATGTAAATGGAATAAATAGTTTTAGTTTTATGTTTAAATTCAATCCTAATCGAACAAACGAAAAAAATAATGAAGAAGAATATTGCAAAAATTTAGATCCTATGGAGCCCATGAAAATCCCTGAAAAATAAAAAATTTAATTTAGTTTTTGATTATGATGAAAAACTTTTGCAAAACCTTTTTTAGGGTGCCACAAATTGATTTTACCTAGGGCCCCGGAGTGAAAACCAGATGTTATTTCCCTCTCCTGTAAAAAAATTAACAAAATCCAATTATTAACGTACTATTAATTTTTTCAAATGACTTACTTTGATGACCACAAATCAGTTGTGAAAGCTATACCAACGGCATTGTCTTTAAGATCTGTTACAATCTTGTTCGTCACTGCCTCCTTGACCAATTGGTTGAGAAGAGGAAGTTTTGCTCTAACCATTGTTCTGGCGGACTTCACGTGGAACTTTGGATCCAAGTATTTGACAAAGTTTGGAAATGCTGCCTCATTGACATGGTTAAAGGCAAGATTACTGCCTGCTAAGTACTTCATCACAGCCAAATCAAATTTTAACTGGACAGGTGACCTGACATTGTGCTTGACAATCTTCTGAAAATATGGTGGTGTGGTTGTGACAAATGAGGCCCTACCACCAATTGGCAACTTCCGAAGAAGTTTCTTTCTGGTTTGCCTTTTGTTGGGGTAAACGACACCTAATTTAAACAATTTAATGATACCAAATGGGTATATTAAATAATAACTATTTATATTAACAATAGAAAATCAAAACCATTTCATTTTAAGTTCTAAAATTTGGTAAAGATTGTTATTTTATTTTAAAATCGATTTTAGTCAAAATTTGATCTTACTTTGTGAAGCATCGACATCAATTCCGGAATTAGAGAGAGTTGAATCTGAGTGGTCAGATTGGTCTTTTTTCTTGTTAGAAGTTCTTTTCTCCACTTGGTTGTATAATTTATCAAGCTTCTTAGTATCATTTAGTCTTTTTTGATACCATGCTGCCTCGAATGAAATAACTGCTCTGGCCTGTTCCGGATGTAAAGACCTAATATGAGTTCTCATGGAGCTAGTATTTGAGTTAGGTGTGGACAGAACCTTTCCACAAATTAGTCCTGTCCCTGCGGGCACTTTGATCTGACAAATTACCTTGGGATTACTCTTGTCCTCTTCGTTAAGAGCTTGGATTTTTGCAAAATAACACCATAATTGGTGAGTTTTTTTAACCATGTTGACTTGATTTTAGCTTAATTTTAGTTTAAAATTGAACTCGTCTTTTCAATAAGTAAAATTATAAGTGCTTTTATTTATAATGTAATGATTGTAACATTTACAATTCCCGATGGACAATTATACACGATTTTCTCTTTGGAGATGTAATAATGATTGCAACACTACAATTCCCTTGGACATTATTTACGCACAAAGGAAATCGCATGATTCATTTGAATGAGTATAAAAGTCGTTGCGTTAAATTTTTTAGTTGATCACGCAATCTTTTCATTAAATTACAAATTTTTCATTGTAACATCTACGTTTGAAAGTGTTCAATTTTTCTGTATCGCACAATAAAAGCATAGTTTTGCGTGCAAAAATAGAATCAGCCAATAATGTTTTAGAATTTTATTACAAAGCTCATTTTGTTGCAGCGCATGGAGTTATTTTATAATTGGTTAAGAAAATGTTTTTTAGACTCTATTTTAATTCTATTCCAAATTTGATAAAATTCGAAACTCAAAATTAAATTTCAAATTTTATCAAATTTGTATCCAATTAATCAGAATTCGAAATTAAAAATCGAATTCAAATTCAGATCTCAAATTTGACAAAATTTGAATTCGAAATTGACCTCGAATTCCGAATTTAGTCGAATTTTTTTGATTCGCATTCAAAATTCGTCCGAGCTTAATGATTACAATTTAAAACAGTTTAAACATTTCAAAAAAGATGCACATTATTATTATACCATATAACATTAACATATAATATTTAAAATATTTAAATTGGGACCTAAATATAATGTTCTTCATTATCAGCAATATCCAGATGAAATCTGTTTATCTAACTGCAACTCAAACTTTTTAGCAAGGGTACAAAGAATAAAAAAAAGGATTTAAATTACTACCTGTGTCTGGTTGCTATAAGGTGATAGGGAGCACTAAATATGTTGGAAGACAATAACACATGATCCAAATAGTTTTAAAAACTCTGAGAAATGTTCTGACCCCTCCAACTATTCTACGGTTACTTTCTTCATATAAAAGTTTTAAGATTATTAAATCATTTTTTTCTAACTGCAGTATTAAAGTTATTCTTACACTTTTCTTTATTTTTAGTAACTTAAGCCACAGCCAAAGGTTCTATCTTTGCTTCTGTATTGTTTCTTTATTTTCAATAACTATCTCTCTGACAATCTTAAATTTCCTCTATGTTCCTATAGTGTCAGTAAGTGACCAGCGTCCCGCTGGTCACTTACTGACACTATATAAACATAGAGGAAAGTACTTTAAACATAGAGAGAAAAAATTAGTTTATGACATTAGTTTGAAAAAGTTTTTAAAAAATAATGTTCAAATTAAGATGTTTATAACATTTTAATTTTAATAACTAAAAAATGTTATAAACATCTTAATTTGAAGTTAATTGTTTATAACAATTAACTTCAAATTAAGATTTTTGTAACATTTTTCTGTTATTAAATTAATTTTTGTTTTTATATTAAGGAAAAATTGCGTGATGACTTAAAAAAAACATGTTATTCTGGAACTCCAACATTTCTTGAGGTAAATTATAATTTAATATTTAAGTAAAAAGTTTTTAATACAGTTTTTATTTATGATGAAACTCTTTCTTAACCTTACAAAATCTTGATAGGGCTAAAACTGTTTTTAGTAATTATGTTACCAGGAAAACATTACACTTGGGACCTCTCACATGTAAATTAAACTTTATTGGCACACTGATTTTACAGTAAGGTTGCTATTTGTAAGAAATAATTGTTAAATGCTTTTTCAAACCTGGGATATGAATTCCTAAAAAGGAATGTTAAGAGAATTTTTGAATATATTTAAGTCAAATTACAGAAGATTAAATTCTCTTTGAATCTATTTACTATTATTAACCTATACTTATGCTGGTGTTGAAGAGCCCTGAAAACATATGAGAACTCACCTAGTACTTGATAGAGTCAATCAGCCATTTTACATAAGGATTTTAAATTCAAATTTCATAAATTCCTGAATAATGTCCTGATTTTTTTCCAAAAAATATTTCAGTCTCAGGAGTTTTTTGTTTTCTTTTTCACCAAAAACCCGAAATAAGTAGTATGTTACTTTCAAATTCTGGGTACTTTTTGTTACTTCCAAATCCTTGGTACTTTTTGTTATTTTCAAGTTATGAGTACTTTATGCTCTCACATCCCTGCTCAAACCTTTTTTTCTTATTTTCTTTAATAATGTCTTGTAATAATGTATAATATGAATACTCTATTGTTACTTATTTATTATTATTCAGTTAGTTAAGGACTTTCACTCACAGTGGGTTCTGCGTATGAGATTTCGGTGCCATCTTTATAAAAGATAAATGAATCAAACCATTATTACAAAATATTACATAAACTCTATTTTTTTAAAATAAAAAACAATGGATGATACTTCGAATAAAAAAAAAAATTGTGTAAACTGACCATGGCTTATCTACAAGTGGGACTTTACGTATTTACTTGTGAGTTACGTATCAGAATAAATAAATTTAAACTGTATCCTTCCCTAACTCAAAATTAAAAAGAAAAGTAGCAATAAATTTTGTATTTGCAGCTTTGCTCCTTGAAACAGTGACTATTCGTTGTACCCTTCTATAACTCCATCTATATTTAAAAAATGTGCTTTAAATAAAAGAAAAGGCAGTTTAGGACAACAGCAAAAAGAATATTCTACTTTGACAAGCAGAAAAATTGTTAGTATTGAAGCTTTAACGTATTTTAGTTCAACTAATATGTTGTTTGTATGAGGACTTATAAAAGAATTTCATGGAGAACAAATTCATCCTGCTGTAATGTTATTTAAAAATAACATTCCACAGTAATCTTATTGTAAAGTCCAGTTGGTATTGGTGGGCTGTGTTGCCGTGTTCTTGCGTTATTGTTATTTCTAAAATACTTTCAATAAAATTAAGGAAAAAAATAATATCACTTACATGTACTGAAGAACTTCAAAAGTGCTATTGTTGGAGTAAAAAAAGTTCGATTCCTATGATTCTGCTTTCGATTCCTATGATTCTGCTTTGCCAAATGAAACTTACTTTAGCTCGTCTTGTAAAAAAATAGATAAAAATTTGCACAAAGAAGCAATTATCTAGCAGAAAATTCAATATTCAAGAGATGTTCTAAAATTAAATAGCAATATAAAGTCTAAAATAAAAAATACCACATTTTTTTTTTGAGTCACATTATTAAAAGGTTTTTTTAAAGTTAAGTGTAAAATCTTCATCATTTGACCAGCTGTCGTTTTACAAAAATGGCTGCTTGTTGCTTGGTAAATCATGATTATGTCAAAGAAAACCAAACTTGCAATGCTGACCTTGTTTCTCCTGATCTTAAAAAGTTAACCACAGTAAAGCATAATACTAATTGTGTAATCATAAAGAATCAACAAGTACTTCAAAAAACAAAAAATTCATCTCTACAAAATTTAAAGAAAATACTGTTCCTAAAACAAATATAAATAATTACAATATGTTTGCAAGTGGTGAAAACAATGTTCTATCCTCACAGGTTAGCAATTTGGAATAGTATTCAACAAAATTTAGAGGAAAATTTACAGAAATAAATATTAATGTTCAGAACATGTAACTCTACTGATCTTATTAATTTTTCTAATAAATTATAAATTTTTTTGAGTAAAACACAGATTCATGGCTAAATAAAAAAATAAAATAACTAAATAACTGGTAGTTGACTTCCAGCATTGTTAGGCTTGTACAGTAAAAAGAGACTTGAAAGCTTTCAAAATTTCTGTTGTGGTTACCACTTTGAATTAGAAGCATTTTTTTTTTTAGGAACCAGTCTTTATCAAATGCTATGCCATGTGGTTTCTTCACTTTTACAGAAGATGATTCATGTGGTTTAAGTCTTGTTACTTAAAATGAAAGTCAGAGGAGAAAATTCAAAAGAACTATTCTAACTTATCTAAATCACCTGCCTATTTTATTTAAACACAAATTCAAATGGTATGTACACAATCAAACTACTGCTTTTTTATGTCCTTTTATCCTGAAATCTGCAAAGTACTTCCTTATCGAGATAAATAACATTTTGTGGGATATAGTAAAATGTTCAATAGACAGTATCCTTTTAAACACAGCAATATCAGATTGGCCCCATATACAAATTAATTGCAACTTTAAAAAAGAAAAATCTTTGTCGAATTCCTAACTTTTAAAGTATTAAACCACTACACACCCATATTAATAAATTGATACATAAAGTTCCTATAGTAAATTTTAGTACAACATAAAATTTTAAAAGTTTATATATTATAGTCTTTTGACTAAAAAGGCTCTATAAATACTAAAATTGGTGTCCACTATGCAAAAAAATTTAAAAACTACCCAAATTGATTTGTTTTTTCCATTCTAGTGTTTGTGTACAATGTAAAAAAAACTTTAACCAAATTTTTTGTAACTATTCTAGAGTCCCCTCATTTAAGTCCCCTTAAATGTTTAACATGTCCCTAGTATTAACAAAAAACAGTTTTTACTGCTAAGAAAATGGCATTTTTAAAAATATACAACGTAATTTTTGTCAGAAATGCAATAATTCAGCTAACTAGTTTGTCTGTTTTAGAATGTTGTGTTAAACCACAATTTTTGCCACCCCTCTCCATTCTTCTTTTGTACAAAGCAGTTTTTTTTTTTAAAAACCCATTCTGCCTCTGCCTATGTACATAAAAAATCAAGATGGTTTCGTAAAATTTCAAAACATTAAAAATTAAACTTTTTTTGTTTGAAGATCGCTTTCATTCCTCTTAAATGATTAATACACAGAAGAGGGCGTTTATTAATTTTTCAGAAATTTTTCCCTTCACAAGCTTATTAAGTTTATTATTTTTACTTGTTATCATCAAAAAAGCAACATCTCAAAACTAAAAAAAAGATACATATATATATATATATATATATATATATATATATATATATATATATATATATATATATATATATATATATATATATATATATATATAACAATATAATATAATTTTGTTAAAAAATATCAAATAATCGACTAAATCATTTTAAAAAATCTAAAAAAACGCCTTAAAAACAACCTAAACAAATGCCATTTTGTTCATTTATCCCCTATGAAAAAGTCATACACTAAAACCAAACTCTGTGAAAAGTTCAATATAATAAACTCCAAAAATGTTGTATTTAATAATAACAATTTTTTGTTATTGATTTTTTTTATTTAGCAAAATTTAAAGTTAGATTTTTAAAATTTACAGATATTTGGTTACTCTTTTTTCTTTGGAGCTTTCATGGCTGGCCCACAGGTATTTAGTTTTATTTAAAAAATTTTTATGAAATAAATTTTTGTCATGATTTTTAATGGTTGAAGTCTTTAAAAGGTAAATAAAGTTAAAAAAAAATAAAATAGAAATAAATTTGATGACAGAAACAAATTTAAAAAATGAATGAAAATAAGTGAATTTAAATAAAAGTGAAATTTAATAAAGTTGAAATGTAAAAGTTTTTTTTTTTAAAGTTAAGAATGAAAGATATTTAAAGAAGTTTTTACAATTTCAATGGTTTATGTACATCCAAAACAATTTTAATGGTTAAAATGATTTTTCCTTTCTAAATTCACTTTTGTCTCTAAAAAGGGAATAACTATTTTATTTCTAAAATTGCAGGGGGTAAAGTAAAGTAACTTTCAAAAGTGACACTCAGATATATATATATATATATATATATATATATATATATATATATATATATATATATATATATATATATATATATATATATATATATATATATATATACATATATATATATATATATATATTCATTAAACTGAAGAGACATTTTGAAGTGTACACATAATAGTCAAAATTTAAAAGTGTGCACATTATAGGTCTACATTTTAAAGTCTGCACATTATAATTTATAATTTAAACCCTATATTTTTATTAGTTTTCATTTCAACGCTACACATCGTTTGTAGAATGTAAGCTTATTGATTCAGAAGGAATGAAAACATATTCTAGAAGGTATAGTTATATATATATATATATATATATATATATATATATATATATATATATATATATATATATATATATATATATATATATATATATATTTATATATATATTTATATATATATAAATATATATATAAATATATATATATATATATATATATATATATATATATATATATATATATATATATATATATATATATATATACATGTATTGTATTGTTAAAAATTATTTGTGTAAAAGGGTTGTAATAAAAAAATGTATTGTTTTTATAAAAATTTTATAAAAAAAAGTTTATACATTTAAAAGACCTATGAGTTTTCTATTATTAATTTTGCTTTTTTAAAAACTTAATATCATTAATACTTAGGTCATTAGGAACTCCCCTATAAAAAAAAAAATTAAAGTTTTTTTTAATTTTATATTAAATGTTCTAAATAATGTGTCCATCATTATCTATACAAAGTTGCATCCTTTCAAGCCATTTGTAAAACGTTTTTTTAAACTCTTCTTTGGGTTGTACTCTTGGGTATATATCAAGATTTTTTTTTTTATAAAGTCGAATAGCCAATAATCGGATAGAGCTAAGTCTGGTGAGTATGATGGGTGGCGAGTTATTGTAATTCCAGCTTGGTTTAGACAATTTTTGACAGTTTGAGTTACATGGGGTCGAGTGTTTTCATGGAGAAATTTGAAATTGTGAGTGCCAGTTTTAGGTCTTTGCTTATTTATTTTGCATATAAGAGGTTTCAAACAATTTTTTATATAATATTCACTAGAAATGGAGTCTCCCTTTTCAACATAACCCAAATGAATAACACCTGATGATTTGTAGATGTATAACATGCTTTTTGGCTGAATCTTATCGCATCTTACTATATTTCTTGGACTTTCACTTTTACCAACCCAACTAGCGTTAGCTGACTTGTGTCCAACTTATCTCAAATAAAACCACAACTCATCCCCTGTAACAATATCACATAGTCTCCATGGGCCGTTTCTGAAAAGGGCTAAATTTTCATTATATGCCTAAACTCTATTCTTTCTATTTTGATCAGTTAACTTGTGGGGTACCTAACATGATGTTAGTTTTCTTTTTTTAAGTGCGTTGTGAATGATTTCGTTGGTTGCAAAACGATTAATCGATGTCAGGGCAAGTATATCATTTGTTGCACGCGGATTTTCTTCAGTAATGACTCGCACACCTTTAATATTCTCAGCTGTATACGTGGTTTGAGGGTGCCCTGACCGAGGACCATCTTCAAGACTCTCTCTACCATCTTTAAATAAAGTAGCCCACTTGGCAACTGTACTTTATTTTTGAGCTTGGTCACCGTGAACTAAAACCAATTCATCAGTTATGGCTTGTGCTGAAACTCCAAGTAGAGCACGGGTTTTAATATATGCTCAATATTCAAGTTTTTTCATTTTAAATTTTTTCTTTCAAACGTATTTAATAAAATTTAAATAAATTTTTTAATAAACATTCAAAATATTTCAAAAAGTACTTAAAATGTTCATAATTAAACTTAGTTTAAGATGATATATAAATATTTAATTATTTCCTGTCTTATTGTAACTTTATAGATGAAGTTCTATGAATTTCTCAAACGACTTAAGTATATGATATTGTGAAATCGAAATAAACATTTATTGTTATCTGAGTTAATGTAAACTGATTTTGGAGTTTCATAATATTAATAAAAGGAATCACAGATGAACGGTGTTTAACACAGTTTTCACTTTAAGTAATATTAAAATGAAAACTATGTTAAAAATAGTATTTGTAATATTGTGAACTCATTGTAAATGTATTTCTGAAGAAAATCTATTATCAAGACCAGACATGTTATCCAAGATAAATTAAATCCTAGACCAGGATGCAGTGTGGCGATTTTGATTTATTGTTGAGGTTACATTTTATGGCTTGGGATTTACAAAAAAAGATAAGTCTTTTGCATAGTTTATCATGTAGGGTATCATGTACAGATTATGTTTGAGTCAATTTCACTTTATTACTTTTATTACTTAATTATTTCATATATATTGGTCTTCATGGAACCATATATATATAATATATATATTGGTCTTCTTGGAACCATTTTTTACACAGTATTTGCTTGGTTTTTTTCTTGGGTTTCTGTTGCATTCATTTTCAATTGTCTCAATAGTTTCAATCAAGTTTCAATTGACTCAATAGTTTTATATATAAAGTGTCTTTATTTGCTGATGAAACATTTTCCTTATAATGGAAATATGTGTTATTTTCAGTCATAAAAGTTTGGAAAATTACAGTTTTTATTTGAACTTGTTTGTGAGAAGACTGGAAATGAAATTACATTTTTTATGTAAACTTGTTTATGAGAAGGCTGGAAATGAAATTACATTTTTATTTGAACTTGTTTATGACAAGATTGAAAATAAAGTTAACATGTTTTTGAAAAATATCTTGTAAAAATAATTTTGTTATTGAGACTGTGAAGTGATTAAATGGGTTTTAATAAATGTTGAACTATTTTACTGTTGAAAGTTTTATGTTTTAAATTTTTATAATCTCTGTTTAAAATTAAACAGGTTTAAAAAAGCAATAGAAAAGATGTTTAGTGGCATTGTTATACTTGCAATCTTTGTAAAATTGGATCCTCTATTCTCAGCGGATTTTATGTACAAACCTGGTTTTATGGTAAAGTTTTTAAATTATGTTTTTTCTAAATATTTGGTATCAGTATCAAAGTAGCGATTTGTATAGTATTTAGAAAAGTTGTTCACATTGATATAAAGAATAAAAATGGAATGTTTATAGAACATTAGGTTGGCTACCATTTTTTAATGTATTGGCTTTTAATTGTTAACTTTTTTCTTTAGTTATTTCCTTTTGTTTTTTTATATTACACATTTCTTTGTGCATACATTGTGCAACAGAAATAACTATCACTTTATAAATGGTGTTCGGAAATTAAATATTACATTAAAAGGTTTCATCAAAATTATTATTTTTTTTAAATATAGATACATTTAGAAAAATATTTTTACTTGATGTCTTCAAAATTATATATTTCAAATTGCAGGGTTAACGACTAAAAATACTTGTATCTGTTCTTGAAAGGTTTTGATCATTCAAAATCGGGCAAAAATTAAAAAGAAGTTTTCTTGAATGGTCTTCTCTGACCACCTGTTTTAATCACCAAGTTGCAGATCGAGTTTGAACACTAACTCTAGCACAAAAAAAAAAACTATGTACAAAAGCCTCCATATGTTTCTTTCTTTCTTTCTCTCTCTCTCTCTCTCTCTCCCTCTCTCTCTCTCTCTCTCTCTCTCTCTCTCTAACATGTATACATGTGTGAGGGAGAAAGTATACATGTATACATATATGCATATATATATGTATACATATATGCATAATTATATGTATATATATGCATATCACATGTATACATGTATGCATATATATATGTATATCTATATGCATACATATATATATATACATGTATGTATATATATACATATGTATGTATGTATGTATGTATGTATGTATGTATGTATGTATGTATGTATGTATGTATGTATGTATGTAAGTATGTATGTATGTATAAATATATATATATATATATATATATATATATATATATATATATATATATATATATATATATATATACATATATGTGTGTGTGTGTGTGTGCGTGTGTGTGTAAGTTAATTTTAATAAAAAAGGCAGCATATAACTATTCTTAAAGATATTTTGATATAATAATATATTAACGATATTTTGGTGACCTATTGTGTTCAGCGTCATCAGGTAACTATCACTTTACCTGTTATCTGATGATGCTGACCACAATAGATCAGAGAAATATCTTTAATATATTATTATATCAAAATATATTTAAAAATAATTATATGCTGCCTTTTTTATTAAAGTCAATTTACATATTTATTAACATATCATACAACAAAAAAATGACTTTTAAATATATATATATATATATATATATATATATATATATATATATATATATATATATATATGTATATATGTATACATACAGCGTGGAAAATAAGAAATCAAAGGCAAGCAGTCTATTCAATCGGTTAACACATGGGATTGACAGTCAATTGTTTTTTGGATGCTCAAAGTATTATTGTTTTGTTATTATTAAAAATAATAACAAAATAATAGTAATAATAACAATAATATCTAATAGTAAGATAACAAAATTAATACAAGTTATTGTAATAGTAATAATAAGTATGTTTAGAATAGTTACAATGAAATAATAACAATAATAAATATTATAATGGTAGTTATAAGTATAAAATTATTTATAATAATAAGTTAGTGATTTATTATGATGGTATCACATACAGAAATCTGATCAAATGAGTGATGCCAATTTTTAAATATATAAGTAATAATAAGCTCAAAGACATACATTGAAACACATAGAATGTAAACTTAAAGACATACATTGAAACACATAGAACGTTCATTGAAACACATAGAATGTATACACATATATTAAAGCACATACATTAATTTAAACAATTATGAAATCATAATTTGCAGGTTGTAATAATAACAAAAAGAAAAAAAGAAATAAACAAAAAGTAATGATGATTATCTCAGTAACAACGAAAAGAAAATTAAAATAATTTGTCAATAGTAAGGATAATAATGTTAAAAGTTAGAATAAAATATTCTTCAAAATTGTTTTAAATTGATTTTGTTCAAGATGGAGTAAAGGTATTTTAGAATATAGTTTGTTTGACTCATTCAAATTGCACACAAGACTCCTGTTCCATTCACAGACACACTGATTAGCAATATATTGTTTCCCATACTTCTGAGTTTTAAAAGGTGGTACGTTTAGTTTTCGATTGTATATATTTTTAGTAGAGTATGAATGTACTAGTCTACTTTCTGTGAACAAGTTTTTAATGGAAGATAGTAAGTTTTTATTTAAGGAGTCGAAATAAAAAAAAGATTAGCATACTAGCACTGGAAATTTTTGAATAAAAAGTTTTTTGAAGGACTTTGATGTATCTGATTAAATTGGTTGGAAGTTTATTAATCTAAAGGATTGATGCTAAAACAATAGCAACTTGTTAATTTGATAGTTTCCAACTTGATCCTAAACCTGACAACAATAGCTAAAATGAGTTGAGAATAATGGATAGTAAATATTCTTAAGTGTAATTTTATAGATGTAATGACAAGTTATTGAAAGCATACCGTTAGCTCTTGCTTTGTTCATCAATGTGAAAGTTTCATTATTATTGCAATCAATAAACACACCAAGATATATAATAACTCTTAAAGGATATAGCTGTTTATTTTACTGGTGGTGAAAATCCTGTTTTTCATAAATGATAGAAGTTTATTTTTATTATGAAATTTTAATAAAAATATTGAATACATTATTTTAATAACAATATATAATAATTGCTTTTATTTTAATAATAATATATTATCTTTTTGCAATATATTTAAATTACAATACAAACAATATATTTAAATTTTTTAATATATTACTTGTTTGTTTTTTTTTAACGTTTTTTTTATATTACTTGAATAACGAGGGTATATATAACCCCTAGAAATATTGAATTTTGTTATAAAGAATTATATAAGGATAAGTTTACATACTATAACAAACGTTTTAACTTAATTAAATTATATAAAAACTTATCTAAGATGTTAACTTTTAAAAAATAGCTATTTATTATTAATTTTGATTTTTATTTCAAAATTTTTAAAGAATTTTTAAATAGTTTTTTTTTGTAGATGAAAAAAAAAAGTTTTTTTGGTGTTAAAACATATTAGGTTCGCATTAGAAAAAATCATTTAAAAATCGTATCATATAAAAGAAATCGATTTATGAAATGCTTTTAATAAAAACATTGAATGAAAAAGTAATTATTATAAACTATTATTAAAATAAAAGCAATTATTATATATTATTATTAAAATAATGTATTAAATATTTTTATTAAAATGATAATAAAAATAAACTTCTATCATTTATGAAAAGCAGGATTTTCACCACCAGTAAAATAAAAGTAATCTAAATAAGTGAATAAGAAAAAAATCAATTAAAATAGTCATATAATATTCGCCAACAAAGCATATTGTAAACATTAAACTATTTTAAACATTTTTTTTTAAATTTTAAGGATTTTATGAAATTTTAGTATATGTTTTTTCCAAATTACATCCTTATTATTTGTTAAACATTTTTTAAAACTCTAATTTTAAATTACTGGCAACAATTTGTTTTGCGAGGTCAAAATAGGAATTTTAGTCATTTCGGGCAGTCATTGACTGTTGACCTGCTGTTATTTTCCACGATCATATATACATTAGCCCATCCCATTTTGACCCTCATCAACAAATTTTAATACGCAAAGTGTCGTAAAATATTCCCAAGGTATTGTTTTCGTAATAAATTTTTTATATTTTTTATTTTAGATGACTATTTATACTCGCGCCACTCTTTTAAAGTTTAACATTTTTACATTTTCAAACAATTGGCGCGAATAGAAATTTACAAATAATTAACTATATAATAACTTTATTACAAGTAATGGAAAGCTTTTTTATCTTTACCGATTGAGCGCATTTTTATTACTATTATTTTTATTAATTGGTAGTATTTTAAAAACGCACAAATTTGTTATGAAATTAAAAAAACGTGGTTTTTAAACGTGGTTGTTAGCGTTGAGGCCAAATACACAGCAATTAGAAATTTGTTAGATTCTTTTTATCTCATACAGTTCACCCACTTTAAGCCCTGGCTATTTAAAAGGAGTTTGTACAAAATAAGCTAAGATTCCTGACTGACCATTATTCTTCTTAACCTCCTGCCATCATGTCAGGGAGCTTCATATAGCCGTAGTTGTTAATAAAACAGCCAAGCTGTGGAATAAACTATTTATATCATAAAACCATAAAAGGTTAAAAAATAGTAAGTTTAAAATAAAATTGCTTTACTTTAAAATATCTGTTTGCAAAAACAAAATGAATAAGTTTCTAATTTTGAAATTATTTACATTTAGAGAAGGGCAGAGATTATGATGAGCTTGCAGAAAAAAATCAGACCATTAGGTGAAAATTAACAAATATGGAGCTGTTTCATACGCCTTGAATTTTATGAAATTCAAGTTTCATTTCTCTAAAATAAGTTTTTATTCTGAGTAATAAAATACTCAAAGAGATCAATAGAATGGCTGACTAAATTTCTCTCTCTAGGGAATCGTGGTTTTTGACCTGTGACTTTTCTGATTCTGCAATTCTTAAAGTAAAACTTAATTTCATAAGTTTTGATATTTTAGTCTTATTATTTAAGAATAGTTTGTCATAAAGTAACAGTTGTTTTAAAACAATGGTTTGCAAAATGGTTTAAAATCAGATGTAAAATACAAAGAAAATAACTCTAAAGCAATTTTTTTAGATAATAAATAATAACTCTAAAGCAATTTTTTTTCTAATGACAGACTTTTCTTAAAATCAGTAGAAATAAAATAAAAATGAAATCAATAGAAATAACACTTTGATTTTATCTTGTCAAAAATACATGTAATAAGTATTTAGTAATGTCATTTTAAACCTTATTTTATCTACATTGCATTATTTTTAATTAAAGCTTTTAAGATCAACAAGACTATTGGCAGATGTATATTAAGCCTGCTGAAGAGGTGAAATTCAAATCATGGTAAATCCTTAGAGGTGTTTGGTACTGGCTTTAGCATCTTTTGACCGAGATCACAATATAAAAATGGTATTCTGCATTCAATATTAAAGGGAGGTCCGAAAAGGTGTAAAAATGGATAGAATCAAAGCTGAAATCGTTCTGAAAGCAGTTTTTGTTAATTAAGACCAGCCACTAGGTTTTGAGTTAATTCACCAGACTACTGGTTAATTTTTGATATTATTTTTATTTTTATTAATTTTTGTTACTTATTTTTCAAAACAAGAAATATATTTCTTGTTTTTAAAAATAAATTGCAGGGTAGGATATTTATTTCTTAAAACAAGAAACGTAATTCTTGTTTTAAGAAAAATATTTCGTAATCAAAAATTTAATTTTTCTGTGCTTGCAGTAAAATTTATCAAGATAATGTAGAGCATGTGATAAGCTTGGAGAAGCTTCAGAAGCTACTTCAAATAGAGAGTTCTTGTAAAAAAAACATTAGAAAAAGAAGAAGAGTGGATTCAAGGAGCTAGCTACGGTGACTGCTTTCTCGCTATTGAATGGTTCTTTTAAATCGAATTCTGATCCAATATCCAACTGAAACTCTGAACCTTAAAGTACATTTAAAAATTATTTTTCTACATATTTTGATACATTTGTTGTATGGTGAAAATTTATATGTATGTAAATATTTATTGCACATTTGCAGCGTTTAAATGCTGAACTCTCAAGCAAATTTGCTTTAGAAACAAGAGATCTGTGGCAGTGACGGATCCAGCATTTTTTGGTGTTTGAGATAGCTAACGTGGAGCAAAATCCAAACATTTGTATGTTCATACTTATGTCAAATAATGATGCCTTTTTAAAAAGTTGCAATATTTGGACGCTGGAACAAAAAAGCCCTAAAATTTTATCCCCCTGCCCCATATGTGAAAGCAACAAGTTGATGAAATAATTTTTTTGCTATTCTTAACTAAATTTATATTTATCGATAAATTTTAAGTATTGTTTTACAATTTCTAAGTATTCAAAAATTATGATTATATAAAGTTTGAAACCCCCTCAAATTGAGGGGTTTGAAATATTATAAGGTTATAATTTATGAATTCTGAGAGATATTACTATGAAACTTAAAATTTATTGATAAATGTAAACAAAGTTGAGAAGTTTAAAAAAATTATTTTACCAACTTGTTGCTCTTACGTTTGGGGCAAGGGAATGAAATTTTAGGGTTTTTTTAGTTTCCAGCCTCCAATCATCGCAATATTTTAAAAAGCATCATTATTTGACATAAGTATAAACATAAATATATATATATATATATATATATATATGTATATATATATATATATATATATATATATATATATATATATATATATATATATATATATATATATATATATATATATATATATATATATATATATATATATATATATATATATACATACAGTTAGAGAAATAAGTATCTGAACAAATCATTTTATTTTGGAAAATAAACTTTGTCAGGTTATTTCAGAAAAAAATTACTTTATTAAAAAAAAAAAATTATTAGTCTGAAAGAAAATTTAATTACAAATTCAATATGCAAAAAAAAAAAAATTCAATAATAATAAATTAAGATTAAACTATGCAATTTTTTAGCATTTTCACCATCATCTGATTATCTTCTCTTTCAGCAAATACTAAAACATATAAATACTAAAGTTAAAATACGAAAGGATATTGTATGTCAGCATCTAAATAAATAGCAAGCATATATGTTTATACTCATAATATGTATGCATAAACCACATTGCGGAAGCTTTTGTTGCTTCTGAAATAAAAGTTAGGAAGTTTTTATTCCTTCTCTTCAATTTTAAGTCAAGCCTCATTCTACTCAACATTTTTCACCATCTTGAGCAGTTGCTTTATTAAACATTATTCATTTTTTTCATCTTTTTTACAAGAACATCTTTCTTAAGAACAAATATCTTTTTATTATTCCAAGAAGCCAATGTAAAAAGGTCTTGTCTAATGTTAAGTTATATTTTTCTCAGTTTACTAAATCTTGTATCTTATCTCAGATGTTAGGTTATAGAGACTTTTTGTTAGTCTTCAACACTGTCATTAACTAAAGTAAGTCTAACATTTAATCTCTAATTCATGGGTCTGATCTTTTTATTTCTCCCCAGAATAAAGCAGAGTTATTTGTAAAGAAATATTACTCTAATTTGACTCTTTAATCTTAGTGCCATACTTATCCTGTCAGTTAAACAGATTAACCCATTGTTAAACATTCAAATCACTCTGGTTTCCGATGCTAAAGTTAATTCTCAATTAAAAACTTCTACAGTTTGTGCTCCAGACAAGATTTCCATCATAGTTTTAAAAAAGTGTTCTCCAGACCTCTCTTCAATTTTTGCTAAATTTTTAAAAAGTACTAGATAAGTGGTTCCAATTTTTCAAAACTCCAGAAAGCACGTTGACCTCTCCAACAACTACTATTAGTCTTTTTTTAATTTCTTTATATAAAGATTTTGCGATTATTAAATTATTTCTTTCTAACTGCAGTATTAAAGTTTTTCTTGAAGGCCTACACTTTTCTTTATTTCAAATAACTGTAAGGTTACCACAAGGTTTTATATTTGCTTCTGTATAGTTTCTTATCTACAATACCAATCTTCATAAAATTTTCATCTAAATTTGCTCTATTTGCTGACAACTTAACTTTATACTGTTGTCTCGATAAAAAATATTCATTTTTTGATTGCTTAGAACAAGCAGCTGATTTTAAATCTAATCTCGCTTCTATAACAGCCTAAGGCTTACTGTGGCTTATGGATTTAACTTCTGGACTTAAGATCCACAACTTTTGTTAGACAACAAAACTTATTTATTTACTCCAACCCTTACTTACTCTCTTACTTACACTATTGCAACCCAACTTACTCTCAGACAAATTCTAAAAGTTAATTTAATTTGACTTACTTTCTCTGACAAGCTTGAGCCACTCTCCCATTGTTTTAAGGTCACATTTCTTTCTATTTTTTCTACAAATACTATCAAGGTCAATGCTAAAACGAGCTATCATCTCTATTACAATAAACCAATCTTCATTCTTGCTTGGCTTCTTATTCAACAAGTTGCATCCTTTCACTGTATCTGTTCCTTTATGCTATAAAAACTTTTATTAATCCAGTTTTAAAAATTATTAAAGTTTGTTAAAAAAGTTTATATCAATTAAAAAAGTTTTATTAATCCTGCTAAATCTTATAATTTTTGCCAGGGTCAGGGCTGGGGACGGGTTTGATGTTTACCTGGGGCCCTGGTCACTTACTATATATGTATATATACAAAAACATATAAACATAAGACTGTTTTTAGTATTACATGAGATGGCATGACATGTTATAACATATAAGTCTTCAGGTTCTTTGTAATGTTTCATTATATTTTTACATATTTTTAGCCATAAAAATATTACCAGGAAACAGCCAATTTAACAGGAAGTTTGTTTAGACTACAATTTAAATTATGAGAAAGAATAAAATTAATTTAAAGTCATAATAAAAAGGATATTTAATTGGGACATAATGTCTAAATTAAATTGTATACAAATTACAAAATAAAGACTGGCATAACTTAAAATTTTCTTTTTTTCAACAAAAAGTTTCACTTATTTTATTATTTAAAAGATTTTTTTTTTAGACATTATTTATGACTATTTTATTAAAATTTTAGGAATACTCTTTCATAAAAAGGTGTACCTACATGACTTTATCTTATCACATTCATTTTTGCAAATATGTTGCAATTTGGTACTTATGTGTGAGTCTTACTTTTGTATAATTATAAAAGAATGTCATAATATTTATGTACATTAATCATACATTTGAACTACCTTTTTTTATAAAATTTTTATCTACTAAATTATTTTTATTTAACATTTTTTGTTATTATATTTCAATTGTTATACAATTGGTAATTAATTTAGAGTTAAAAATTATTTTGATGCTGTTTAATTTAGGAAAGTGTGTGCATGATAACTGGTTTAAGTTACAATGGAGTTCATAATGGTAAATCCCAATGGGATGGTGTTTGTAACTTTAAAATGAGAAAGTGTGTTACAGGAGCATTTTTTCAGGTGATTTTATTCATCTTTTTTTTTTTTTTTATTTTTTTTTTTTCTGGTTTCTGATTCATCTCAAAGTTTTATGAAATAAATAAATTTGATTAACTTTCTAATGTTTGTTTTTAGGATATGCTTGAGTCATTCAACATAAACACAAGCCAATGGGCAGGAAGGTTAAAAGTTTGTTTTCATTATTTTTACATAAAACCTTTCATTGCACACAACCAAGTACAAAGATGTTTAATAAAACTAAAGTTTACTAATATTAAAATATAAATTAATTTGTTTTAAAAGATTATATATGTTTATCTATATATGTATATAAAAATGTTTTTTACAGGTATGTTTTTAGAAGGCTTATGTTTTTGGGTAATAAAAATTTGTCACACATTATCACACTTGCGTTTTTGTCACTTTGGCATGGTTTTTATATTGGCTATCCTATTTTGTTTGGCATTGAGTTTTTGTTGCTGAAAGGGGAAAGGGAGGTAGTTAGCTTAAATTTTAATTGTTTTTATTTTTTTGATTCTTTATTATATTTGTTTTTTAATATTTTTGATTACCTAGTTTTTATTAAAAAATTGTCTTTGGTTTTGAAGAAACGATGAAGATTATATTTTTTTATATTTTAATTTAGACCTGTGCCAATCTTAGTATTATTTTTAATACCACATACAATAATCTACCATTTTTAACAAAGTTAATGATCCGTGTGAGTGGGGCTCTGTTTAAAGCATATTCTTGTGCATTCGCTGCTTCTGCGTTTATGTTGCTAAGATGGAGAAGAATAAAAGTTGTAAGTTTAATTTTTTTTATTTCATTTTCTGAACATTGATGTGCTATGTTATTTGATTCTTTACATTAGTCAAAAAATAAATTTGTTTTTAATTCATTTGCAACAGACTGTTTTTTTAAATCTATTAAAAAGATTGTAAAATTAAAACAAATTTTATGAAAAAGTTTTAATTTTAATGATCTATTTTTCTTACCTGTTTTGCTAAACTGCTTAATACTTGTATTGTGCTCTCTGATATTGTATTGTGCTCTCTGATATTGTATTGTGCTCTCTGATATTGTATTGTGCTCTCTGATATTGTATTGTGCTCTCTGATATTAGTTTCCATAGTGTTACTAAGATTTAATTGTTATTTTATTGTTCTGGTAATTTCATAGAAATTTTATATTTTAACAAATAATCATCAACAATTTATTTTATTGATTTTATTTTCATAGGCTTATGTCATCAACCATTGATTTTATTTTCATAGGCTCTTGTCATCAACCATTGATTTTATTTTCATAGGCTTATTTTATCAACCATTTTTTTTATTTTTATAGGCTTATAGTGCAACATATTATTGGTTAATAGTTGTTTTTATTTTTTGGTTTGCAATTTTGATACCAATTTTGAAAATAATTGCTAAGAAGAGCAATAAAAAAATGTAAGTATTATTAATATTATTTTTTGATTTTATGTTATTTGTTAAATTTATCAGCTTGCTGAAAATTTTTTTTTTTTGCATTTTCGTCCTTAAAATATTATCCTCCACCATTAAAATTTATCACCCTTAAAATTATATCATTCTATTATTGTGCTATTATGCTCAAATCATTGGGCTTTTTGATTTTTTATATTTTTTATGCACTCTATTTGAGTCATCATGAGATGTTTTTGATTTGTTATTTAGATTAAAAGAAAAAAAAGAAGATTGAATTATTAAGCTATTTTTGGAATTATCGTTTATTGTTCATCAGTTGTTTTGCTAATTTGATAATTTATTTTGTTTTGAAGTTTATTATTTTTATATTTTTGAATAATATTACCAAAATATTTTTGTGTATTTTGTTTTGCATATCATCTCTTGTTTTGTTTTTTTATGTTTCGTTTGCTAGTATTGTCATCGTTTTGTTTTTGAACTTTCAGATTTCAATGTATAAGCATACAGTATGTATACTTTATTATTATAGTTATACATTGTTTTAAAAAAATAAAAACTAAGTTTTTATTGGTAAAATTATTTTTGAAAAATTAATATAAAAATATTGAGTTTATTTATTTTTTTATTTGTTTTGTTTTGTTTATTTGAGTTTTTTATCTTAAATATATATATATATATATATATATATATATATATATATATATATATATATATATATATATATATATATATATATATATATGTATATATGTATATATATATGTATATATATATATATATATATGTATATATATATATATATATATATATATATATATATATATATATATATATATATATATTTTAACCAACATAGACAATTTTCAACTGAATTTTTTCCCCTTGAAGTTTGGGAAATCGGACAAGAAATCAATGGTTTTTGCAGAACAAAGAAATATTGCATAGTTTTAGAGAGTTTTAATTATTTTTTAGCTGTTTTTAAAAATCTAAATTCGGTTCAAAGAAGTTTTCAATCAATTATTGTTGGAAAAATTATTTGATAGTTTTATTTCAAATGCTAATAACATCATTTTTCATTTGTCACAAATAAAAAATCATAAAAAAAATTAAAACGAAATATAGCAAAAAAGCGTAATCTAAATTATTTTTGATTTGATTAAATTTTTTTTTATCCTTAATTTTTTTATTGGACTCAGTGCCAGGTGCCTGGTCTCGGACCCGGTTTTTACCACCAGGTACCCGAAATCAGGGACTCATTATTTTCTGGTTCCGGCACACCTCTATTATATATATGTATAAAGCATTTTCTTTTTTATTGTCAAAATTTGTTACCATTTCATTATATGACAAAAAACCTAGCCTTTTCATTTTCAACTGATAGTATTATGAGATTTAAAAAGCACTTATAATGACTTTGCTATAGTTTTTGGTCAATTTTACTTGACTGAAAATTTATCACCAACTACGACTACTAATATTGACTTTGTTTGTATTAAAAAAACTTTTGATTTAAAAGACTTCAAGAGTTTCTAGGAAACCATAACTTATTCAAACCATTAAATTTCTTCCATAAAGTTGTCTTCTTTGACATAGTTAGCATAGAATGGATTCTTTTGAGAAGCTAATTATTTGATTCTCAACTAGATGAATGAGAATTTTGAAGAAGAAATCTACACATTATTAAATATTTTTGAAGGAAAGTGTGAAGGTTTTCTCATTACTGCACTTCTCATCAGAATAAACTACATTTTTTGAATCACTGTTGTTTTATGCCCCTAATTAAAATTCCGATTAAATTAAAACTCATTAAAGCAAAATTATTTCAATTCTAAAGTATTATTAACTTTCATTAAGTATTAATTTGATTGAAGTGAGAAGCCTAATTTTTTAAGTGAGTCCATTTATTTATTTGTTATGTTGACAAGATTTAATCCCCCTCCTCCTCCTCTTGGCATTTCTAATTAGATGCTAAGATCCATGTAAGATGTTTATTTTAGTGTTGTTTTCATATTTTTTATGTTTTCTTTAAATACATTTATTTAAAATATTAGCAACATGTTTTTATTAATTTAGTTCTTGTATTGAACCTTTTAGTGTTTAACTTTGTAAATATTAACTGTTATTATATGTTATAAGTTTTATATAAGTAAATTTTATGAGTTTTGAATTTTATTTAAAAGAGTAACTTGTTTTAGTTTTTTGTTACATTTTGAGCCAAAATTTTCCTAATAATTTTTTATTAGAACAAGGCAAAAGAGCAAGTTATTATAATTAAATAGTGATTATTAATAGTAATAATTAATAGTGATTGTATTTAATAATTTTTTGTTTGTTTGTTTTAAAAATGATTTTATTTGTAGAATGAACCAAATAATTAATATGTTATACAACAGTAGTGGTTCTGTTGGGTTTCATTTTATTAATATAAGTAAATTAGCAAGCTATCTTGGAACAGCAGAAGCTGGATTACGTTTTTTAATTGGTTTATTCATTGGTTTGTTCATTTTTATTGATTTTTTCAAATATAAAAATACAATTAAAAATGTATTTAAAAATATAGTTTTGCTTTATTTTCACTTTCAATTTTAACAAAAATTCTAGGTTACCCTCTGGCCATACAATATATACTCATGTCTAAAAGTTCTGCAAATGTAAAGGTTTGATTTTTGTTACTTTTCTATAAATGTAAAGGTTTAATGTTTCTTACTGTTCTACAAATGTAAAGGTTTGATATTTCTCACTGTTCTACAAATGTAAAGGTTTGATATTTCTTACTGTTCTACAAATGTAAAGATTTGATATTTCTTACTGTTCTACAAATGTAAAGGTTTGATAAAACCAGATAATCTACCAAATAAAACCAGATAATCTACCAAATTTGATCATTACTGCAGCAGCATTAGTGGTTGATGCAACAACATCTGAAGAGATAATTGCAAACTCTGATAGTTTCTCTTTAACTAAGTCTATTTTTACTTCAGCTGTAGAGCTTCCATGAGTTCTAGCCAGACCTAGAATAATAAATAACTTATTGAAATGAATATTGATATTCAAATATCTTCAATTGCGCAGACTTGTCGATTTATCTAATTTTAGACTAAATTTTCCATTTTTTTCTTTATGTGATTTTTTTTAATGTGATTTTATCAATAAGTTTATTTTTTACATAGCACATTATTTATGAATTAGTTTTATCACATTGTTTTTACTTAATACTTGATGAATGAACTCAGTTTTGCATATTCCGTCAATTGAAAATCCATTAATGGTCACAAGTCTGACCACTTTCTCTGCTAAGGATTGTTTCTAAGAAAAAATGATGTGAGAGACTCACTTTTGCAGTGATTGTCTCAATTACCTGAACCAGCAATTTGATCTTCATTTAAGTTTCTTTTCTTGATATTAATGTTATGAACATGTTGAAAATGTATAAATTATCCACTGGTTGACAACTTAATAATTTCTTTGGACATTCAAACACTCGGCTTGTTTGCCTGCTTTTTCTTTTGAAAAATATTTCATGTTTAAAACAATGTTTCAGCAATTCTAAATAAAAAAAATTTAAAATATTAGAATAAAGAAATTAGTTTTTAGGTTAAAAAAAAATTAAGAATATTTTGAAACTTACTTAACTTGTCAATACGTGGAGAACTGAATGTTATTCAAAATTTTTTGAATAAATTTAATTACAAATTTTTAAGAGTAACTAGCATTTTGTATTTGAATTTTATGTGTTTGTTTTGACGTTTTTCAAGCCACTGTGAAGCATTTAGCGTTTTTTGTTAGAAATAATTACTTGTTTGTTTGTAATGTTTGCTTTAAATAACTAAATAATTTAAATAATTAAAAAATTATGATTTTATTTTTACATTTTCTAAAGTTAGATTGTATACATTAATTAGCTTTGTGGACATTAATATAATTTTATTTCAAATAAATAAATATTCTAATATAATAAAATATACAAACAAGTAATTCTTTGATTTTAATTTTTTCCAAGGAAGTTATGGTAATTTTCCCGGGTAACAAGAAATATAAAATATTAAAAACTCCTGGCAATTTTTAATATTTTATATTTCCCAAAAAAAGAAGAGGGAAGAACCCTCTAGACATAAATCTTATGGCTAATGTATGTCGTTAAAATATATCATGTCCATGTTTGAGTACTTTGTGCACAGAAATGCATATTATGGAGATAGTGATGTTTGTTCATGTTTTCAAAAACATGCATATAAAATATTACCATTGTTACTTATTCCAAAACCACCACTTTTGAGGAAATCAACAACAAATCCCTCTGGCTTAATGAACAACATTTTTATAAATTCATTTTTATAAAAACTTTTGGGACCTTGCCATTTTACTGTTTCTTTTTTATATGCAATCTTCAATCTAGATATGGACAAGAGAGAGACTAAGTTCTAAGTATATTCTTTATTGAGGGTATAACAAATATTTATATTTTTTGACACCACACACTGAACAGTATTGAGATTATTGAAACTGAGTTGCTCTAGATAATTTAGAATTTTCTTATCAACCATTGTTAGTTCAAAAATGCACTTTACTTTAATTGAACATTTAATAAAGTTTCAGCTAAAGTTTCAAATAAAAGTATCAAGAAATATTAAGAATTTGTTGTTTTTGAAAAAATGTCTAAGTTTAAATTTAAAAGATCTATTAATATTTAAATTTGAATTTAATAATTCAAATTTAAATATTAACAAAGAACAAGACTTAAATTCTCAAGTATGGGGAAACTGTGAATGTAAACAGGCTTCTTATATATGGGGAAACTTTGAAAACAACAAGTATAAATGTAAACTGGTTTCATTAAGGAAAGCTATGTCTAAACATTTTAAATAAAAATACATTTCAAAGTTTTACAAATAACTTTCCAGAATTTTTGAGTGAAACAAAATGAACTTGTCAGAATTTTTGAGTAAAACATGATATATTTAGTCAAGAATTATGACAAGTTCAATATAACTTGTCATAACTCTTAACTTAAACATAATTAACTCTTCAAAATCCTTGAGTGAAACATAATGAACTTGTCATAACTCTTGACTAAAACATAATTACCTCTTCAGAATCCTTGAGTGAAACATGATGAACTTGTCAGAATTCTTGACTAAAACATAATTACCTCTTCAGAATCCTTGAGTGAAACATAATGAACTTGTCAGAATTCTTGACTAAAACATAATGAACTCTCCAGAATCCTTGAGTGAAACATAATGAACTCTCCAGAATCCTTGAGTAAAACATAATGAACTTGTCAGAATTCTTGACTAAAACATAATAAATTCTCCAGAATCCTTGAGTGAAACATAATGAATTCTCCAGAATCCTTGAGTAAAACATAATGAACTTGTCAGAATTATTGACTAAAACATAATGAATTCTCCAGAATCCTTGAGTGAAACATAATGAATTCTTCAGAATCCTAGAGTGAAACATAATGAATTCTCCAGAATCCTTGAGTGAAACATAATGAATTCTCCAGAATCCTTGAGTGAAACATAATGAATTCTCCAGAATCCTTGAGTGAAACATAATGAATTCTCCAGAATCATTGAGTGAAACATAATGAATTCTCCAGAATCCTTGAGTGAAACATAATGAATTCTCCAGAATATTTGAGTGAAACATAATGAATTCTCCAGAATCCTTGAGTGAAACATAATGAATTCTCCAGAATCCTAGAGTGAAACATAATGAATTCTCCAGAATCCTTGAGTGAAACATAATGAATTCTCCAGAATCCTTGAGTGAAACATAATGAATTCTCCAGAATCCTTGAGTGAAACATAATGAATTCTCCAGAATCCTTGAGTGAAACATAATGAATTCTCCAGAATCCTTGAGTGAAACATAATGAATTCTCCAGAATCCTTGAGTGAAACATAATGAATTCTCCAGAATCCTAGAGTGAAACATAATGAATTCTCCAGAATCCTTGAGTGAAACATAATGAATTCTCCAGAATCCTAGAGTGAAACATAATGAATTCTCCAGAATCCTTGAGTGAAACATAATGAATTCTCCAGAATCCTAGAGTGAAACATAATGAATTCTCCAGAATCCTTGAGTGAAACATAATGAATTCTCCAGAATCCTTGAGTGAAACATAATGAATTCTCCAGAATCCTTGAGTGAAACATAATGAATTCTCCAGAATCCTTGAGTGAAACATAATGAATTCTCCAGAATCCTTGAGTGAAACATAATGAATTCTCCAGAATCCTTGAGTGAAACATAATGAATTCTCCAGAATCCTTGAGTGAAACATAATGAATTCTCCAGAATCCTTGAGTGAAACCTAATGAATTCTCCAGAATCCTTGAGTGAAACATAATGAATTCTCCAGAATCCTTGAGTGAAACATAATGAATTCTCCAGAATCCTTGATTTAATGCCAAAAATAAGAGTAATAGTAAACTTTTCAATTTACATCTTAATAAAAAGAAACTTTCAGATATGTAAGCAGAAGTTAAACTTCATATTAAAAATAGGGTTTTAGAATTCCAATTCTTATTTAATATTATAGCAACTAGGTTTGCAGAACATATTGCAAAGTAAATTAAAAAATTTGTTGAAAAAATAATTGCATTCAATTCAAAAATAGTAAAAAATAAGTATTTGAAGATATTCCATATATAAAAAGTTGAAAATTTGAGTCTCTTAAGAAACTTATTTAGCAAATAATTTCTTAAATGATTTCTTGATCCTTATTTTTTAGACATATAAGAATGATCAAAATGGAAAAGGATGATAGTATAATAAAGTTATTTAATTTACCAGAAGAAAATAATTGGAATATAGTAGAAAAATAATCTATTTATAGTATTCCAGTATAATATTTCTAAATAAGATTCTTATAAAAATTTCATAAAATTCATTTCATATTCAAAGGTTACAAATTTATTTGAGAGAAAGAACTTTGTAATAGATATACTTTATAAAGCTAGTAATAAAATCAACATTATAATAATACTTGTGAAAAAAATATATATCCAGTTTAATGAAAAATATTTTCAAACTTGTATGATGAATCATAATTAAGCTTACATTTCTAGAATTAGAAAACATAACTAACAAATATGATCAAATCAAATTATTGTTAAATTATTGTAACAATGTATGTGTTTCATTTTAATAAGGTCTTACTTTGACAAAAAGTTATTAATTTATAGTTTAACAAACTGGTTACCAAATTTTTGTCAGTATATAATGTAAATATTGAATAACGAAAAAAAGCAGTATTTAAAATGTCAATATTATTTATCGGTATTTAATGTAAATATCAAATACTGACAAAAATCAGTATTCAATATGTTAATATTATTTGTCAGTATTTTATGTAAATATTAAATACCAACAAAAAGCAGTATTTACTGATGTCTTTATGTCAATAGATCTTGAAAGAAAAAAAGATATCAATAGATTTTTCTAGGAAAAAAGATATCTATAGATTTTTGTAGGAAAAAAGATATCAATAGATTTTGTAGGAAAAAAATTTATTTATCAAGTTGATATATATTTTTATATAACAATAATTTATTATTGTTGTCTATTTTAGCATGCATTTTTTGTAATATCTGGTTTGCTAATAAACTACTTTGTGTTTGGTATGCATTTTTATTGTATTTAGTTTTTATTTCTATGTATTGCATCGACAAGTTTGATTGATATTTATATTTGGTTTTTGTTTAGTTTTAATTTTAATTTGAACATTTTTTAACAAACTTTTAGTTTGTTGAAAAAACTTAAAGGATCCTCAAGTGCCCAGACAAGTTCATATTTAAGATAATGTTTTAAAAATATATATTTATAGGCTGAATTTTTTTGATTAAAACCAAGTAATAAATGTACCATGACAATACCATGAAAAATGAACTTAGTAGTTTAAAATAACCCAGCAAACATTGTTTTAGTGGACCTATATAGACATTTTTTAGTGGTTCATTGGAGTTTTTCTCATCAGTTACTTAGTAGACCATTAGTAACAGCCGCTATAAATGGAAAACCAATAACTTTAGGATTGTTTATAGTGGCTAGTCATCGGCTAGCCATATTTGAGGGTTACCACTAATGGTCCACTAAGTAACTGACAAGCAAAACTACAGCAAACCACTCAAAATGCGTATATAAGCCCACTAAAGTTACGTTATAGAATGTTTGCTGGGAAAGGTCTCCATTCTAGTCAGAATTTTAAAGTTATATAAACTTTTTTTAAACCTAAATTACAGACTTTAAAATTTATTCAAGCACGTTTAATTCTTAAAAGTTTTAGCATAAAAATAACATCATTGTAGAAATATTTATTAATTTTGCAAAAATTTAAAATAAAATAATAAAATAAATATTTAATAGTTTATTTAAAAAAAAAAATATTTCTAGATTTAAAAATAAAGAATTTCTAGATTTCTTATTAAAATTCTACAATGACGTCATATACTAAAACACTGGAATTAAATGCGTTTGAATAAATTATATAGTCTGTAGATTGCTTCAGAAAATGCATATATATTTTAAAGACTTAAAATTCTGACTAAAAGGAGTTTTTTTGTTTTAATTAAAAAACTTCCCAAACATTTTTTTTTTAATTCTTTTTATTATAAACATAACTTGTTTTGGCTCTTGGAGATCCTTTTAAGTTTTATCATATTCTTTAATCTGTATCTTTATCAGTTGGTTTTTTTTGTGTGTGTTTAAGGAATAAACAGCATATATACTTTATTGAGTGTGTTTGCTACATGGCTTTCTTTTTGTTTATTTGGTGGTACTATTATGAATGTCATAATTGCTATTTTTTTTCATACTGTAAGTTCATTAGTTTGATTCTAATTTTTTATATCTAAAAAGTGCAATTCCAAATTATGTTTTCAAAGATTATTACAATTTATTATTAATTAGTTTCCCTAGTGATTGGATTGCCATTGCTTCCAATTGGTTTTTAGAACCATCATACGATCAGTAGTCTTTCTTATAGATATATCTTTCTGTTGGGTATGCTACATCTGCATCATCATCTAATTATGATGTCAAATGGACCACCCCTCAGTGCATGTTGTGCTTAAGACTGATTGGTAATTTTCTTACTTTTTATGCTGATATATTTTGACAGTCTTTGTTTTCTGTATTCACTTAAGGTACTATTCAGTACTATTCAACTTTTTAATAAACATTTAGAATGTAGAGATAAATATTATTAATTTTCATCAAAATATAGCAGGGTTTAGTTAACAAGTGTTTTAGTACAGATAAACTATTTTATGTATTTTGAATTATATGAGTAGTTTGTAAAATATATTTGTTTTACTAAACATGAATCTTTTACTTAAATAAATTCTAACTGAAAAGAAAAAAATATTTTTCAAGGAAATTTCCAGTTTTTTTAACATGGAATATAATCAATAATATTTTATAATATTAGTTATTATTAACATGGAATATAATGAATAATATGTTATAATATTTATTATTTTTAACATGGAATATAATGAATAATATGAATGATAATAAAATGGAATAATATGTTATAATATTTGTTATTTTTAACATAGAATATAATGAATAATATGTTATAATATATTGTTTGTATATTATTAAGTAGTCAAACTATAAAATTTAATTCTTTCAGGACTTGCTTGGGACGTTTATGATGGATTACAAAATCCAGTAGTGTTTGTATTTTAATTTTATATAAATGTATGAGTGCGCCATGTGTGTGTAGGTGTGTGTTTGTGTGCGTGTATACATATATATATACATATATATATATATATATATATATATATATATATATATATATATATATATATATATATATATATATACTATATATATATATATATATATATATATATATATATATATATATATATATATATATATATATATATATATATATATATATATATATATATATATATATCAGCGCTCAAAATAGCGGCCAATCAGCTACTTTTTGAAAAATTGACATTTTGATCTTCTAAAATTAAATCTGACCAATCAAATTTGATTGGCAGTAATTGCTCATCTAACTTTAATAATAATTAATAGAAAGACATTTGAAATACAGAAAGTTAAAAATATTTTTAAAAAAAAGTTAAATTAATATCAAAAAAAAAATAAGCTGAATTAAAATCGAAATTATATTTTAAATTTAATGCATTTTAATTTAATTACAAACAATTTATTTAACTTCTAAATGAAATGATTAAAAAAAAAAGCGGCAAGTTTTATTTTAGTTCTAAATAAAATAAGAGCGGCAAAATTTTGATTTAATTCTAAATAAAATAGTTTATTTGTATTTAATTTAAATAATTAGACTAAATACGCAAAAATAATGTTAATTTAAATTTCAAACTAAATAATTAAAATAAAAAACGCCAATGTTTTATTTATACTTAAGATAAAACATTTAAAAACAAATACTGCAAAACGAACGTTTATCTAAGTTTATCTAAACAAATTAAAAAAAAACCCAGCAAAACAAACAATTTAATTTTAAAGATTAAAAAGAAATACTGAAAAACAAACGATTAATTTAAATTCCAAATAAAATAATTAAAGTTAAAACAGCAATAGTAATTTGATTATGTAAGGTAAAAAAAAAAATGCATTTTAAATTTTAGTAAAATTTTATTAAGTATTGATTGTCTTAAAGATGATTTGATTGTCTGGTTTTTAATTTTTTTTGTTTCAGTCGATCAATAATGATCGGCAATCGTTGATATATATGTGTATATATATGTATGTATATATATATATGTATATATATATATATATACTATATATATATATATATATATATATATATATATATATATATATATATATATATATATATATATATATATATATATATATATATATATATATATATATATACATATATATACATATATATGTATATAGAGGGTTGCATGGTTTTAACCAAATGGTTTAAACTAATTAAAAAAATATTGGTTTAAACCAAACTCATGTTTTTTTAAAAAGATTTGAACTTACAACAGGAAACTAAGACAGGGTTATGTTCACAAATATAACTAATCTTTAATATAGATATATTTTTTTAAATCCATGATTTTTGTTTTTGTGTTTTTTTTTAAGTTTATCAATATGTTTCATCCAGGATACACTCTACCTAATAGAACTCAAATTGGAGGAGAAATATTGGATAGGGTTTACACAGAAGAAATTGAAAAATGTAATGTATTGAATAAGAAAATTGTAGCCATGTCTTTAGATGGCTGGAGTAATGTACATAATGAACCTATAGTTTGTATCTCTCTAATTACAGATAAAATTAACGTTTTAGTAAAAACAATCAACACTTCTGGTCATTCACGTAATGGTGAATATCTTACACAATTAGCAAGAGAAGCAATAGATTTTGTAAGACGTAAATTTAGATGCACAGCAAAAAGCTTTGTGACTGACAATGCAGCTAATATGAAATTAATGAGACAAGTATTGTCATCTGAAAGAGATATTATCATAACTTATGGGTGTGCTGCTCATATGCTGAGTCTTTTAGCAAATAATCTGAACATTGAAAATGTGAATAAGCATGTTAAGAAATAGTCATCAAGCTGGAGCAATTTATAAATTAGGCGGAGGAACAAAATTGCCAGTTCCTACTGAAACTTGCTAGAATTCTGTATGTGATTCATTTGAAAAATGTCAACAACTTGATATTTTCACAATGTTTAAAAGAAAAAAAAAACTTGGATCCCATGATTAGTAAAAAAGTAAGTGATATACAGATAAAGCAAAATACAGAAGTTTTATTTAAAATATTGAAACCAATTGCAGTAGCTCTAGATAAGTTGCAAAACGATCAAACAAAATTAAGTGACTCATGAAATTTTTTAAGATTTGATGAACAGTTTATCATTTTTATCAAACAAAAAAAAATAAAAATTGAATCTAGATAGTCTAGATTCATACTGTCAGTGGTGGTCATTTCCTGGTAAACACACTAGATCCTAAATATTTTGGATCTAATCTTTCTGATTAAATCTGATTAGAAAATGACGCTGCCATGAATTTTGCAGATAAATTCAACTTTTTGTCTTGTTCATTCTAAGTTAAGAAACCAATTGGGGTTAGACAAAAGCAGCAAAGCTTGTATTTATGTATAGAACATTAAACAATGATATAATGAATAATTTTGATGAAATATAACAATAATATTGATAAAGAATATAGTTTACTCAAATAAAAAATGTTATGCTTTTTTTAATTTAAAAGGATAACTAAATACTGCATTTTTTAGTAAAAACCTATTTTAAACCTAAAAACCCATGGTTTTTTTGTTTTTTTTTAAAAAAAACCAAAGGTTTTTGGTTTTTTTCAAAAAAAACGGTTTTTTTGCAACCCTGTGTGTATGTATATATATATATATATATATATATATATATATATATATATATATATATATATATATATATACACACACACACATATATACATATATACCAATAATTTGTGAGCAACGCAAAAAATTGAAAAAAAACAAGCTTCGCAACCATCATGTTTATTCAAGCATCTTGATGTTTGCTTAAAAAATTTTGCAATGAACGTAGCAATTTTGCAAGATCTATTTGAGTATTAATTAAATAAAAGTCATATTAAAATATTGGAATATAACATTTTTTATTGCGCTTTTTTAGTTGATATATTTTTTTTTTGTGCTTTGTTAATTAAATTTTAAAAATTTATCAGTGATATCTATAAGCTATAAAGATATAGTGACAATTATATTGAAATCTTTTTTTAAATAAACCTTGAACTAAAGAGTTCTATTCTTATACAATTGTTTTTCAACTGTTTAGACTAAATTTTTAATTATTACTATCGTTTTCAATTAATTTACTATCATACTTTTTTATGAACTCGTAATTGATTTTACATTCTTTTCGGATATTAGAAAAAAATTATATGTTATGTTGATGTGATATGTAAGTTTGAAAATTTGAGGTTATCTAGTTTTTAATTTCTAAGAGACTTAGTACAAATAGATTTTTTAAGATTCTGGTATATATACTTAATTTCTTTTCTAAATCTTTTTTACATTTTTTTATGAATAGAACCAATAGAAGGGTATTAAATGCAGTATTTTTTTATATATCAGATTTATTGCTGTAAAATATATTTGAATGTATTAAATATATCGCAAGTATAAAAACAAAAATAAAAAATGAAAAAATCATTTAGTATTATTTTTATCATACAAAAAGAATATATATAGTTATAAATTATTTATAAATATTAATTTTGAATAAATTAGCCCAAAATATCTTCAATTTCAAGATTGAACGCAGTTTCTTCACTTTCACTCGTATCACAATATTAGCATCAGGAAGTTGCTAATATTGCTAATATCAAAAAAAATCAGGAAGTTAACAGAAGTATACAGGAAGTATGTGCTACTTTAAACAACTTTAAAGTATGACTAACTAGTTTATCAATCAATTAAGCAAAATGTGTGATCATACAAGAAAGAAATTGTCTTAATTATCTAACAGTTCTTATTGTACAAGTTTACAAATTTCCAAAGAATACTGAAAACTCAGACTATTGTGTTAAACTCTTTTGCAATACATGCATATTTTGTCTGCTTTTTAATGTACTAATTATTTATCTTTTAACATAACACACAATGATACAGAACAGTTATAGCTGTTTAAAATAACTTGTTTGATTTTTATTTGTACATCAGAATATTCAAAAATTAATTTTTTTTCTAATTTTATTAGCATATCCTGAATTAAATAGTTTCGTTTTTTAACTAGTAAAACAGTTTTACAAAATTATATGATTTGAGAAGTTTTTAAAAGAATAATTAAATAAAAACATAAAAATATTTAACTTTGTTTTTACCAAAAATTTATATTTTGCATGGGTTTTTTTTCGCCCGTGTAATCTGATTTGCATGGGTGTGGAGGCCAGCGTGGGTTATAGCCCGCTATTCCTGCGGAAGCCTGAACATAGATATCTTTATTGAAACTTCCACAACCTATTAATTGAAAGGCAATAATAGCCTTTCCTTTTAATTGGTTTGAGAATTATCCTTTAAATTCGTTTAAGAATTATCCTTTAAATTGGTTTGAATATTATCCTTTAAATTGGTTTCTTATATCTTTTAAATTGTTTAAGAAAAGTTTTTGATTACAATATTGCTGTGATAGGTATTGTGACAGTCATTTTTTCTTATTAAGAAAAGAAAAAAACAATATGCAATTTCATTTTTCAACTTTTTTTTTGAGAATAATATGAATAGAATTTTGCGGATCTCTTGATAGTGTTTTTTTATTCCATTTAAGAATTTTTTTTTATGTAAAGATATGATCATTTTTTAAATACAAATATTGAATATCTATTGTATAAAATTGAAAAATAGTATTGAGTTTTGTATTATTAATATATATATATATATATATATATATATATATATATATATATATATATATATATATATATATATATATATATATATATATATATATATATATATATATATATATATATATATATATATATATATATATATATATATATATATATATATATATATATCAATCTAGGAAACATTAAGTGAAGACCAAAAGAAGAACTGTGTGAAAAATGTACCTACAATTTTAGAAGTAAGTTTTTTGTTATTTTAAATTCATAGGTTTTAATTATGGTCCACCATTTCAGCAATACAGAAATTTTAAGTTAAAATTTTTTTTAATTTTTTTTTATGGTAATTCTCCTTCCCAAGGTCAAGAAGCCCACTACAGTCAAGGAGATCATTATATTCAAGGAGGTCACTAGTTGTGGTTACAACTCTATAACTCTGTAACACAAACCTTGATGAACAAGTCCGCTGCTCAGAGAAACAAGATGAGTTAAGATGTTTACAAGTAAAAGATGTTTACTAGTTGAAATGAATCTGTTCTTGTTAAAGTAACAGTTACTATTTAAAATAACAGCTAGTTGAGGTAATTGTCTGCTAAGTTAGGATATCAATCAACTATTCAAAATTACTATAAGCAATTTAAAAATAACATTTTTTTGATATTTTATAATTATATGCCAGATGAAATTGCGTTTACAGAATTAGTTATTCAACTTTTTATTTTGAGTGTGAAATTACATATTTTACTCTTATTTAATAAGATATCTAGATATTTCAATGTTTAAATGTTATTAATTTTTAAAAACATTGAAATCTTCATCATTTTTAAATCTTTTTTAAACACTAATGTTTTACTTTTTGATAATCTGGTTATAAATGCAAAAATAAACTGGTGATGAATGATAATATAATCTGGCAGCCCTAGAAATTAGACTTGGCATTCAGCAATGCAGACTTAACTGCCGACTTGACAGAATATTAAGTCAGCAATTTATTGTCAACTTCTGAATTTTAAAGCTTAGTTTCAAATAATTAAAAATGACAAAGCAAATGCTTTATTTAAATTTTAGATAAAATAATTAAAATAAAAATGACAAAACGAATATTGTATTTAAATTCTAAATATAGTTGTTCAAATAAAAACGAAAAAACTAAAACTTTAAATTTTGAATAAAATAAATGAAATAGTAATAAAATAGCAAAACAAACGTTTTATTGAAATTCTTAATAAAATAGTTAAAATAATAATGTAAAAAATAACGTTTTATTGAAATTCTAAACAATAATTAAAATAAATATGGCAAAACAAACTTTTTTTATAAACTCTGAACAAATTAATTTATAAAATGCAGTATTAAAACAAATATTTTATTTAATTAAATAAAATATTTGTTTTAATGTGTTTGTCAAATGAATTTCTTTTTATTATAACTATTTTATTTAGAGTTTAATTAATTAAATTCTAAATATTTTAAATAATTAAAAAATTAAAATAATTTAGAGTAAAATGATAAAATGAACATTTATATTAAATTCTAAAAAAATAAAATGTTAAAATGCTGCTTTCACTTCATGGCATTTCATTCAATGTTTGTTTTTCTCTCAATTTTATGCTAAAATGTTTGCAGTTCTGTGATTTGTTTAACCCTGTTTCTAAATTTGTGCTGAACTGATACTGACCTAGTACGCTTTTAGAATGGCAATTTTTTGCTGTTATTTTTTTTTTTTTTTTTTTTTTTTTTTTTCAAGTGCTGATGTGTAAAGTGATAAGAAAATCTGGTGGTTATGTAACACATGTTACACAAGAATAATGTTTTGTTATCCAAGTTTTTTAAACACTAAAGTTTTTTTCACACAGGATCTCAAATTTTTAAGAAAGAGTTTCAATTTACTTTACAGGGATTCTTAATTTTTAACAAAGAGTCTCAATTTACTTTACAGGGGTTCTTAATTTTTAACAAAGAGTCTCAATTTACTTTACAGGGATTCTTAATTTTTAACAAAGAGTCTCAATTTACTTTACAGGGGTTCTTAATTTTTTACAAAGAGTTTCAATTTACTTACAGGGGTTCTTAATTTTTAACAGTCTCAATTTACTTTACAGGGATTCTTAATTTTTAAAAAAGAGTCTCAATTTACTTTACAGGGATTCTTATTTTTTAACACAATGTCTCTTTTTTGGCTTTAATCAAAATTGTTTTTAAAATTGTATTAAAGTTTTGTTTTGATGCAATCTGAAAAATTTCTATTATTCAAAAGTTGACAATCAGAATCAAGCAATCAAAGTTGTATCTGATCATTGAAATTAAGAAATTTATAGAAAAATACATATAAGAATAGCAAGTTGTATTATTTTTTAGAATTACAAGTTGTTTTGTTTTTAGAATTACAAGTTGTTTTGTTTTTAGAATTACAAGTTGTTTTGTTTTTAGAATTACAAGTTGTTTTGTTTTTAGAATTACAAGTTGTTTTGTTTTTAGAATTACAAGTTGTTTTGTTTTTAGAATTACAAGTTGTTTTGTTTTTAGAATTACAAGTTGTTTTGTTTTTAGAATTACAAGTTGTTTTGTTTTTAGAATTACAAGTTGTTTTGTTTTTAGAATTACAAGTTGTTTTGTTTTTAGAATTACAAGTTGTTTTGTTTTTTAAGAATAGTAAGTATTAGTTTTTAAGAATAAGAATTTGTATTGTTATTTGAGAATAACAAGTTGTGTTGTATGCGTTTTAGATCATTTACACAGAGGAGGAAAAATTCAATGAGGTCTAAAGTAAATGAAAAATAAATTTTTCTTTTACTTTAGACCTCTCTTTTGTTTTGTTTTTTCAATTTCAATTTGAAAAATAAAAATAAAAAAATTATGAAAATGCTGAATATTTAAGATAAAATTGATTTTTTTTATTACAAGCAACAACAAGTTTTAGAATTCTAAGATATCAAAAATATTGAAAATATTGAGGATTTAAGTTTTTAAGATTGAAATTATTTATTATATCTATCTAAAAGTTTATATAAAATATTTTCTGTAAAGAAAGTATTTTCAGTTTTAATGCAGTTAACAGTTAAAAGTTAACAGTAATTCCTGCCAATTTTAATATTTAACTGAGGTCTGTTATGATTAGATAAAGCAGCCAAATTTTGTATAAAGATTATAGGGCCATGAAATGCGGCCATGTCCATGGTCTGTGTTAAAAACAAGCAATTATTTTTAATAACAATTTACTATGATATAATAAACTATAGTAAAAAAATAGTTGTCGTTAATTTTATGTGTTATTAATATTTTTTTTTCAAATAGTTGTTTGGATTTTCCTACTGTTTTTGTGGATTTCTCAGTGGACCTCAAGTATGACTTATTTAAACACTGTTTTTGTATGGAACTGTTCCAATTAAACTTGAATTTTAATTTTTTTTTTTTTTTTTTTTAATAATTATTTATCAAAATTCACCATTAAAAAATGTTTATTTTATTCACCGTAACATTACTGAGTTTAGTTTTTGGTTTTTTTTTTTATTAAATTTTCTAAATGTATATCAAATTGGTATTAGATTTTATATGCTAAAAAAATCTATTTTAGTTTTCCTATAGAAGATACATTTCATTTGTTAATGAGGAGTTGATTGACAAAAATGCAAAGAGAATTAGATTCAGGTAGGATTTTATGCTATAATAAAATATTTTTATGTTTTAGGTTTCGCATGACATAGAGTTTATTTTAAATACTGTTAATTGAAGTTTAATTTAAAAAAAAGAAATATTAATTTAAAAAAAGAAATATTAATTTAAAAAAAGAAATAATAATTTAACATAAATCAAATATCACTAATCATTTAAAAAATTAGAAAATCTTTTCAATCAACTATATTTGTAGAAACTTTTAAATTAAGTAAAATTTTTAAGTTAAAAACTTATAAAGTACATCAGTAGATATGTCAAAGTTCTAACTTTAAATATGCATTTTATGAACAATCATTTTTTGTACATAATATTACATTATTTTCAAAAAAAATTTTATATTTTCAATAATAAAAAAATATTATTAAATATCATAACTTATTTTTCACATCTTTGTTATTTTACATATTTATTTGACATTCTACATCATAAAATATGTTTTAATTAATAAATAAATTTTAAAAGATAATTTTTTTATAATTTTATATATGTTTTAAAAGATTTTGTATATTTATTACGTTATATTTGTTAAAATAAATTATATTATAAATGTTTAATTACTAATATATTAATTTAAAAAAAAACAAGTATCTAAAATAGATAATTATTTTTTGTTAAACAGAGTTTTTTAAGATTTCTGTTGTTTAGATTTTACTTAGCTAACAAAAGAAATAATTATAACTAACAGAAGACATTACACCTGCATCACACTTTCTACAGTGTACACTTTACAGCATACATTAAAGGTAGAAATATCAATTAAAACATCATGCATGCAATTCATTATAAAAATAAAGTACGTTAAATATATGGTTATACAATATATACACAGGGAGAAGAAAAGGTTCAATTCAAATAATTATTATAGTTTCATAATTTATTAATATTTATTATTTTTTGTTTAATGATTATGTTAATATATTATTTGTAATAGATGTTTTAATAATAGTTTCTATAAAAAAATTTAAGCTCTATAGATAGTGTTATTATGGAGCTTATATATATGTAGGTCTGTAAATCGAGCCGAACGAGCCAAGCTTGCCAGGGCTCGGCTTGGCTCGTTTACATATTAAGAGTGTTGAGGCTCGGCTCGAGCTCATTTCGAACATGAGATTCTTTGTTCAAGCTCGGCTCATTAAGGATTAGTATTGTTTGGCCTCGGCTCGTTTTACATGTTGCTCGAGCTCGACTGGTTTAAAACTCAAAATAACCTGTTAGTTTAAAGCTCGTTTAGTAAAAAAAAATTGTTTGTTAAAGACTTGTCTGTAAATAATGCAAGTCCAAATCAACAAACAACATAAACAATCCTACAGTCTATTAAACATGCAAATAAACAACATAATGAAATAAGATCCCACAAATCTAATAGTTCAAAATAAAAGTTAAATCTAATAGTTCAATGTTCAAACTTAATGTTCAAAGTTCAAACATAATGTAAACTCTCACAAACATGGCAATTCCAACTAGCAGTAAGCAAGCCGTAATACGCGTTGTTAGTAAATAAAATTAAAAAAAAAAATGCGTATAGAAAAGCCTAGAAACTACTTTAAAATAGAAATGCCTAGACAATGATGTAACTCGACTAATAATAATAATATTAAATTAGCGTATTCATATTATCAGATTAAACACTGCACTCTAATAGTTCAAATTACATTTTTACAAATATAAGTCTTGCTCTCATTGCATTGGATGAAACAAGATAAAAAGCCTTCCACAGAATTCGATTTTTTCAAAGTTGAACAAAATGGTCCTTATAATTGGGTATGCAATCAAAGTATTTCGAAGTAATGAAATTCGAATTTTAAATTTTCAAAGTTCAATTTTTCTTCAAAGTTTTTTTTAATTAAAAGTTTGCTAATTTTTGTTTATCGCAAATTATCTTTTTAAACTGTTTGATGCTCTCCAACTTGTAGTTCTATTAATTATATTAAAAGTTTTATAATCAACATTTTTTATTCACAAAGTTTTATAATCAACATTTTTATTCACAAAGTTTTATAATCAACATTTTTATTCACAAAGTTTTATAATCAACATTTTTATTCACAAAGTTTTATAATCAACATTTTTATTCACAAAGTTTTATAATCAACATTTTTATTCACAAAGTTTTATAATCAACATTTTTATTCACAAAGTTTTATAATCAACATTTTTATTCACAAAGTTTTATAATCAACATTTTTATTCACAAAGTTTTATAATCAACATTTTTATTCACAAAGTTTTATAATCAACATTTTTATTCACAAAGTTTTATAATCAACATTTTTTATTCACAAAGTTTATAATCAACATTTTTATTCACAAAGTTTTATAATCAACATTTTTTATTCACAAAGTTTTATAATCAACATTTTTTATTCACAAAGTTTTATAATCAACATTTTTATTCACAAAGTTTTATAATCAACATTTTTATTCACAAAGTTTTATAATCAACATTTTTATTCACAAAGTTTTATAATCAACATTTTTATTCACAAAGTTTTATAATCAACATTTTTTATTCACAGAGTTTTATAATCAACATTTTTTATTCACAAAGAGGAAGAGGAATGAACTTTTATAACAACAGAAAGCAAGAAAAAAATGTTATAATGCATTTAATCGTTTTAATATGACGCAAATTGTATATTAAAGTTAGAAAGTTAGTAGTTCGAAGTAATAAATTTGGAATTTTAAAATTTCGAAGTTTAAAAAAAAGTCTGTTGAGCACTAATTTATAGTTCTAGATTTAGTAAATACAAGTTTTTAACAAAAACAATAATTCATGACTTTACCTGATTAAATAGCAGAGTAAATAAACAAACATTCAATATATTATCACAAAACATTTAGTTGTGCAACTTGAAAAAATATCACTCTACAAGTTAAAAAATGGCTCCTTCAACAAAATCATTGTGAAAAGAGTTTGAAAAAAAAGTTTTATATATTTACTTTTCTGTTTAGCATAATTTGTACACTCTTAAATCCATTAAAAATGGTCTAAAACATATTGGGCCTGTTGGCAAATGACAATAGTCAATAGCAGCCTCACGTAATTAAATTGTTTATATTAATAAATTATTTAGTGTAATAAGAGTTATATGGGTCAAATCTCATATGGTTACACTAACACTATATTTTTATTATATACTAATATATATAATATCTCAATTTTATTTATTACATATATATTATTATAATATAAATAAATACATATATATATATATATATATATATATATATATATATATATATATATATATATATTAGAGCTTTAATCAAGCCTATATGAATGAGCCTATGATGTTCAAGCTTGGCTCGTTTAATAAGCCAGCCTAATTTTTTGTTCAAGCCCAGCTCGTTTACCATTCGAGCAGAACATGAACGAGCTCTTGTCGAGCCGAACACGAGCCAGGATTTACAGCCCTATATATATGTGTTGTTTAATTTTTATGTGTAATTAGTTAATTTTTATGGAGCTTATATATGTGTTGTTTAATTTTTATGGAGTTTATATATATGTGTTGTTTAATTTGTATGTGTAATTAGTTAATAAAAATAGAATCAATAAAAAAAATCACTTTAAGTTCATTAAATAATAGTTTATACTTATACCATTTACATATTTTCTTAACATATAAAAATAAATATTCTGATATAATTGTATGAGTTTTATTCTAAATTATTTTTTTATTTACCAGGTATCTAGACAGCATCAAAAAAATTTTTGCTGCATTAAGTGTGATAGTTTTTCATCAAATTATGGATCCTTATTACAGACCAAATCAGTTATTTGAAAGCAGTTATTTTGTAAGTAATAATTTTGCATTTTTACTTAAGTCTTACCTGAACTTGTTGAATAAAGCCAATATTTTTCTTAGTGCAATCATTTGTTACTTGTATGATTTTCACATACTGAATAAAATTTCTGAATTTGATAAAGAATTAAATTAATTTAAATTTCCAAATCTTTCTAGCAGCAAGAATCACTCTAATATAATTATATACAGTGCTTGAAGTGGGGTGGGATGCGGTGGGATGGCATCTCATCACCTTTTTATAAAGTATAAATCATTCCACCACCCTTTTATAAATCTCTATATATAATAATGATTAAGCGAGATGGTATTTTTAAGACTGGAAAAAGTTAAAAATATGGCAGCACTCCTTGTATATTCTTCCTATTTGTCAGTTTATGTAGCAGCACACCTTACATGTTCTACTTATTTGTCAGTCAATGTAGCAGCACTCCTTGCATGTTCAACCTAATTAGTTTCCTCAATTAAATGTAATGGTTTTTACATAAGTATACTGGATTTTGTCTTCTTTGAACACGAAGTGTCATTAAGAGCTGCTTTTTACCACAAACGGTAAATTTAGATGTCAAACTATAGGATTAAATATAGCAGTGGGATCAACTGTGGTTTAATCCTTTCTTCTAGACCTTATTGACAAAGTATTTGATGCCTGATAGTTTGCAATTGATCCTTTGAAAGTAGTAAGAGTTATGATAGTTAGCAATGGATTTTGTGAAAGTAGTAAGAGCTATGATAGTTAGCAACTGATCCTCTTGAACAAAATCCTCTAACAAATAAATTCCACATTAACAAATAAATTTCATATGAAGACTATAAAAGAAGAACATATTACAGTGAATTGTAAGCCTGCTTGATGATATGCTACTCATATTCCTGTTAAAGCCATACCTCCAGAAAACTAAAGAAACCGTGCTTACTCTTTACAATTGGATGTTTCCATGGGCAACATCCAATTGTAAAGAGTAAGCACTTTGTACAACTTCTGGGCACGAGTGCCTAGAAGTTGTACAAAGGTATACTACAAACTTCATAACAAAGTCAAGGAAAGAGCATTTATTTAGAATAAACTTATTCTGTTTTCTTTTCATACTGCATTATAATAAATTACCTTTCTTTTTTTTTTCTTTTTTTTTAATGTTTTTTTCACCTCCCAAGATCATTAAAGTCATTTAGGATATGATTTTTTTTAATTATTTATTGTTACAATCCTATTTCAACTGCTTCACTCCGAAACACAAGCTTTGGTGAAAAAGGTGGCTGATTGGATAAATAAGTTGACCATGGTACTACTAAAGATTTGATGGGGATTGAACTCAGAATTTATCCTTATATCCTAATGGTATAAGTCTGCATAGGTTAAGGTTTTCTTCTTGCTTTCCTATTCACACACAATCTTGTCAAAGAGTTGAAGAATCTCATTTAAGTAAATGCTGTTAGTAAATAACATTAAGTAAATGTTAATAGTAAATAACAGATAACAAAAAAAGTATATGATTTTTATATTGTTTTTAATCTAATATTTCTTCTTCAAAATGAGACAAATTTTCAACTTCTACAAAATCAATATTAATTAACTGCAATAATGTAATAATGTAAACACTTGTAATAAAAATTGTAAAAAGCAGCACCGTCTTATTATTATTTGTTTGGTTTGCTTTTAGCAAACCTACAAGGCAGCAGGGCAAAAGCTAAGAAAAAAAAATCTTATTTAAAATTTCCCTGCCTTGAGGCTCTTGGTTGAGTAAAAGCTAGAGATGATGTCTCAATAAAAATACTAATCTTAGAACAATGGTAACTGCATCCAGTTACTGTCTTGTAGAAGGCTTCTAAGACAAAAACTTTACAGATGAGCAGAATAATTCTGTTGACCATCTTCACACTCCTTCTTCCTCTATTAGATTGATATAGATGTAAACTTGTGTTACATTTTTTTTTCCCCTAGAATGATGAATGCTGAATCTTCTTGACTCTAATCATTGAATTTTGCTTGTGTCTTCTTGATAGTGGCTATGCAACTCTTTCTGTTATCTCTTAATAAGGGTACAGCTCTACAACTCTTTCTGTTATTTCTTAATAAGGGTACTAAAATTAGATTTAATGGTTCTGAGGTCAGCATGTAGTAAAGTTTCCTGAATTCTGTAGTAGCTATCAGAGAGGCTAATTCCATCAACAGCTGTAAAATATCAGAGTATTAACATTGTTATATTGCACATGGATAGTGTCCCATGGTGGTAGTACTTTTTGATGTGCATTTTCAAGGCCACATAAGTAATCTTAAGTTACCTTACTTTGGGTTAATTAGCAGGACTGAGACAACTGCACAGCTCATTGCCTAGGTTGATGTTCTCTATCTACGAATGAGTCAAATTCTCTTTAAACTCAAACTATGCCCAAAGTAACCAAAAATAGTAAACGTAAAAGTCATCACCACCACCTAACTGTTTCAATATATCTTTCACAAGTATTTGTGGACTTCAAAGTAACTTTCCATCAGTAGACTCTTACATCTTGCAAAGTTCACCAGATTTGCTTGCTTTTTGTGAGACTAATTTAAATTTAGCTGTTCCTTCTTTAGATCTTATTATTAATGGATATTATCTTTTGATTCACAAAAATTCAAATAGTCACATGCTTGGCTTGGGCATATACATACGCATCAATTCACCTATTTGTCAAAAAATCAGGTTGAATCCTCTGACCACTCTTTTATTTGTTTCCTCCTCTTCACTCTTTATCTTTGTCTAAATATTGTATTAAATATCTTAAAATCTTAAATTATTAATCTTCAACATCATCATTAACAAAATTAAGTTTAATATCCCATCTATAATTTATAGGAATGATCTTATTACACCCAAGCATAAGGCAAAACTATTTGCAAAGAACTTCAACAGTTAACCCATTGTTAAACATTCAAATCACTCCAGCTTCCATTGCTAAAATCACATCTTAATTAAACTCTTCTACAACTTTTGATCCAGACAACATTCTTGTCATAGACTTACAAAAATGTTCTCCTCTTTAACCCTCTCTAAATTATTTAGTAAGGGTTTGACTAAATTTTGTTTTCCAGCTGGAAACATTTTGACCCCTCCAACTATTGTCTGATCAGTCTTCTTTCTATCATTATGGGTTTCGATCTCTTTTTTCTATGGCTAACTTGCTAATTGCTGTTACCGAAATATTCTATTATGCATTAGATGTAAGCAGCAAGGTAAAAATTAGATGTAAGCAGCAAGATAAGGATTAGATGTAAGCAGCAAGGTAAGGATTAGATGTAAGTAGCAAGGTAAGGATTAGATGTAAGCAGCAAGGTAAGGATTAGATGTAAGCAGCAAGGTAAGGATTAGATGTAAGCAGCAAGGCAAGGATTAGATGTAAGCACCAAGGGCTTTTGTTTTTGACATATCTAAAGCTTTCAATAAAGTTTGGTATGTTGGTCTCATAAGCTTGTTTCATATGTTTTATCTGGTAAAATTTTTGAGATTATCAAATCATTTCTTTCTAATCACAGTAATAAATTCAGGGGTACCTCAAGGTTCTATCCTTGGTTCTGTTTTGTTTCTTATCTACATTAATGATCTGACAATCTTACATCAAAAGTGGTTATATTTGCTGACAACTCAACTTTATTCCTGTCTTGACAAAAAGTCTTCACTTTTTGATTGCATAGAACAGGCAGGTCTTGAATCTGATCTTACTTCTGTAACAGATTGGGGCTTGTAGTGGCTTGTGAATTTTAACTCCAATAAAATTCAGTTACTTACTGCAAACAACTATTGCTATACTCTCGACATTCCTATATTAATGAATGGCAACCCTCTCAATATATATATTACTCTTTTGACTATTGTACTTATTGGGACATCTGAATTACATTCTTCTATTTTCTTGCAAATTTCTTTTATAAGATTTTCAAATGTCAACTAACAATAAGAATATTCATAGGGAAATGTACATGTAACTTCAACTAATGTTTCAATTTTTGTATGAACAGATTTTCTCATCAAGTTATTTGTGATTAATTATTATTTTTTAGGAAAAGCCATTTATGTTGCGTATCACTGAAATGTCACTCATTTACTATGTGCAGTTTACTCGTTATGTTATTGTATGGTGCATTAGTGTAAGTTTGTATAAAATTTAAATTTGTTTAAATTAATAATTTAAAAAATATTCTATTTATAATTTGTTTAAATTGATAATTTAAAAAAATTTAAATTTGAATATATTATAGAAGACTATGTAGAGTAGATACAGTAGTATTTGTTAGGTTTAATTGTTTATATTTTAATAGGAAAGTGTATGTATGGTAATAGGAATAAGTTATAATGGAATGGATGAAAAAGGAAATGCAAAGTGGAATGGTGTTCAAAATTTCAAGTTCAGAAAGTTTGTATTTGGAGCTTTTTTTCAGGTTTTTACCTTAAGTTGAAAATATATATATATTTTTTTCGATTTTATATTATTTCAATATTTTCATACCAAATTTGTAATATTATGAAATACACCGATTGAGCTTTGTAATGCACCGTTATAAAACTCTAAGGTTTAGGAATCCGTGACCCTGCTGCAGATTTAAGAATAGAGACAACAATCCATATCAGCTAACTTAACTTGAGAAAGCAAAGTATAAACATATATCAAGAACTTTCAAACGAAATTCAATCAATTATAAAGTAGACTTTTAAAAACAAATTTTTATATAAAGATGTCGAAAATTAATTGTGCTATAATAGGTTGTGCAAACAGTACATATAAGTTGAATAAATGGAAAAAAGAAGTATGCAATGAACATTAACAAAATGTAAACAGAGAGGAATCTTCATTATGTGAAAGGTTATTTTTATTATATAAGTTTCCAGCAGCAAAGCAAAAAAATAAAGACAGTTATGAATTAAAGCTTTAAGAAGAAAATCAATAAATAAGGCATTATGGCTGCCAAGAGGTAGTGATATGATATGCTCTATACACTCTGTTGATGGAATTCCTTCAGCTGCAAACCTTGTGCCTAATTTATGTCTTGGATATGAACAAGAAGCTAAAAAATCTAGAAGAACTTATTCAAACACCCTATATCATTAAAAAGAAACTAAACTATTAAGAAGAAACTTGAGTTGCAGTTACTAATTTTAGTGATATTTCAACAGATTTAAAAAAGAAAATAATTTACCAATAGCAAATCTATCACTATCTGATCATTTATATTGTTCTATACAATCAAGGAAAGTTTGCAAAGATGTGTTAACAAGAGCAATTTAATTGAACCACTTATCAGTAAAGGCATTAACATTAACTTGTAAAAATTAAAGTGTCAAAAGTTAATAGTGTTAAAATTTCAGTATTTATATGAAGCGTCAAAAGTTATTTGATGGTGTTAAAATTTCAGTTTTTACATGGACGAAATTTAAAACTGATGCTAAAATGAACTTTTACACTGGTTTATCAACAATTAAATTAATTGAGAATTTATTTTTATTAATCAAACCATGTTTACCAAATTTAGTTTGTTGGTCTGATCCAAAAAGGTTTACTTATTCTAAAAACAAGAAAAAACATGAAAAAATCACAAATAGTTTTTACTTGTTTTAATACGATTAAGATTAGGAATTCTAAATAAAGGTCGAGCATTTTGGAATATCCTCAGCATTGTGTTTACATATTTCACAACTTGGATTTAAAAGTCAATTTTTAAGACAAGCATTAGTTATATGTTTTCCGCACGAAACTTTTTGAAACAGTCTGCCACCTGTTTTTGTGAAAGCTGATTATTAAAAATGTAGTGTTGTTCTTGGTTGTGAATTTTATTTCTATCTTATGGTAAATTTAGTTATTTGTACGATATATGCTTTGTCTTTATCTAATGCAAAAAGTATATTATGTTTCTATGAAAATATAGTTTTTTAAACTTTTTTGGTATTTAACTTGTAATTTTTCCTATATTTTTAAAGCATATTTTAAAAAAGGTCAACAATTTTATTAGTTGACCAATTTTATTAGTTGAGGTTTATTAGTTAATCAGTGGTTGAATAAATTCTCAATAATCTCATTTGAAGGTTGAATAAATTACTCACAAATCTCAAAAGGCATACATAAAGTAACTACAGTGGAGCAATTAGCTTCAGGAGAACAAAATTATTAGGTGCAAAAACAAATCTATTACTTTTTTTTTAAGTTTTTTAAGTTCAAGGATCTGCAAGTTTAAAATCAGCTACAAACGGCATAAATTCTAGCTTAGACACTTTAGCAATAAAAAAATGTGACTTTGACACAGGAGGCATAAATTCTAGCTTAGACACTTAAGCAATAAATGTGACACAAATGATAACTGTGACTATTATTTGAGTGGGGCGGATTTCTTACCTTGTGACTATTATTTGAGTTGGGTAGATGTCTTACCTTGTGACGAGAAGTCAAAATTGTCATTTATGGAATAGCCCTAATAAACAAAATAGCATCATTAATTTTTAAAATAAAATGTGAAATGCAAAAAAAAACTTTAAAACAGTATTTTTCATTTTTTTAACTTTTCAAAATTTCAACAACTTTTCAAAAAGGTTGTGACAACATAGGGTTGTAAGTATAACAACGAAGAGGTTATTATAACAATATAGGGTATAAAGTAGGGTTTGGAAAAACCTGGATATTGTCAAATACAGTTCCAGGATTATCTTATTCTTTAAAATCAAACTAATATCTTAATTCGGTATTTCATTTTTTTCTGCATTGATATCTACTTTGTTTGACAAATCTTTAATGTTGTCTAAGGACTTTCCAACTTTGTGACATTTAATCTATTTAAAAGGTCCAAAAATTTTTTTAATTGTTACGACCTTTTTACCCTCTAAAATTATAACTTATAATTAATAAAATTAAAATAAGTAATTAATGCATATCACCTTTACTTATGAACCAATGAAAGTATAGGAAAATCAAGACCTTGCAGGAGCAGGGGCAATTCTACATCCTATACCCCCCACCCTTGTAAAATCGCTACTGCTCAAAAAGGAGTAAAAATAGAAACAGTGTATTATATTACCCATCATAACTTCAGAAGACGAAGTGCAAAAATCACAGCAGAAACTTCTAAATAAAATTCATTAATTAAAAAGAAGACAATAAAAACAAATTATATTTAAAGGTGGTGAAAGTTAATTTATAGATATGGTTGTACAAATAGTGCTATAGGTTAACAAATGTTAAGAAAAACTTTGTCAAGTTTTCTATTTGAATTTCATCCATCAACATTACAATATACATTGTATCCACAAATATTACAATAAAAATTTCATCAATAAATCTCACAGTATTATATATTTTATTTGCAAACACAATATAGTTAGAGGCAGATAATAATTAAGAGAGGCAAAAGTAGAGACAAAAAAATTCAGTTTTTTTGTTTCTACTTTTACTCTACTCTAAAATCTTACTTCTACTCTAAAATCTGCTAAAAACACAAATGTATTATGAAAAAATAATTTTTTTAAAGATTTAGAGTAGGTGCTAAAAATTGATTTTTTATAATAATAAATTTCTACTTTAATAAATTCCACAAAGACACATCAAATATGCCATGTAGGGTCCATACAACAAAGTATGTGTGGGGTCCATACAACACAACACAAGGTAACAACCATTTGTATATGGGGTGTAATAAGTATGGTTAGTTTTAAGTTTTACATCAACACCCTTTTTTACTAAATATAGTAAATTTAATTCTGTAGATGCAGTAAAATTAATCTTGTAAATGCATTTCACCTCAATACAAGCAATTAGGACAGCAATCACATAAGATTATTTGGTCTCGACTTGCTCCTATATAAGGATGTTCATTATCCAGGTAAAGTCCACATTTGTTTAAAGTAAGATTTTTGTAATGTCCTTTCATAAAACACACTTCACTGCTTCACTTCACACCTCACTGATTCAACTTCCATCATATGACCATATTTTAAGACTGAATTATTGGGGTTAGTAAATGTCAGTCCTGATATTAAAGTCCTGATATTGAACTCCTGATATAAAGTTGTGGTATCCATCAACAGTTTTTTTAATTTTCTCTATATTTGTTGCTACCTTTTGAACTTTAGAGTTATAACGCTTTAAGTGATACAGGTGTTCATTTTCATTTTAACCTCATGTTACTACTTCAATTTATATTCTCAGCTGACATGTTTACTTTTAAACTCTTAAAAAATTCAGTGCAAGTTGAAGAGGTAGAAATTACATTTTTAATACTTGGTAAATCAATTGGTGGCATATCAGCTTTTGTGAAAACTTTACAAATAAAGTCTATTTTTAACTAAAATGCTTTTTGAACAGCGGTATATAAAATGCTTTTGGAACAGCAGAATATAAAATGCTTGTTGGCACAGTTTTCTCAAGAGCAGAAGGTACAACATTGATATTTAATAATGGTACCATATTATTTGATAAAGGATTATATTGCTTTTTTTTGTGTAGTTACTAATTTTCTTTACTTTTTTTTTTTTCTTTTTTTTTTTAACCTCTTTTCCAAAAATCTTTTTCAAGATGGCAGTCATTCATTTGAAGTGGTTGTACATGCATGGTTTGTTAGACCATTTTCTAAAATAGCTTTTACTCTATACATTGCTGCAGCAACATGAGTAAAAGTTTAACCCATGCCAGTCATGCATGTAAAATGACAGGCTTTTATTTTAGACCTTTTTTTTAATACCAACCCCAGTTTATGATATGTATCATTAATAGATAATGATCTCCAACATTCTGATTTAAATATACAGTATTTACTACATGTTAAATTATGATACTTATGGGTTAAAAATTAAATATTAAATATATCTTGATATAACAACATTGGCCAGATTAGCTTACCCTCTTGTTCATCCATCCAGGCATCAAGAATTTTAATTGGACCAGGTATCTGCATATTGTCTAATTTCAGTTTTAAATTATATTGTTTTTTTAAATCTGTCTTAACTTCTACTGCTGTTTTTATTGGTAGAACATTGTTTTCCATTGCAGCAAATATATGAGTCACTAGCTCTTCTTTTTTACCATTTAATTTTATTCCCCTTAACTTCAGTTTTTTAACTCTTCTACTTTCATTTTTGAAATCATATCATACTCCATGATTAATTTTATAGTAAATATTTTTTTTAGCAGTAAGATGTTTATACTTTATTTTCTCAAGTGAATATTGTATATTATGAATAATGGAAGTATCTTTTTACCCCTCCTATTTGGAGTCTAGACCTCTTAAAAAATCATGTATTTTGAATTCACTTAATTAGTGTATTAAAAAGTAATTACTATACCCCTCTCTGCTCTCCCTCCTACATAGTGATTTACCATTTAATTATATTTATTATAATTTATAAATATATAATTGATCTTGACAGTAGTATATTGATTTATTAACATATTAATATTTAT